TATTGAAAAGGAGTTTAGAATGTCCATTCAATTCAGAATCAAAGTGAAAGATCATTATGGGGAAGTAACAGTTTGAATGTAAATGAATATAACAAATTAATGTCTCATATAAAATGAAATAAAATATGCTCCTAAGTGACCATTTTTGCCTAAGTTGCTTGCCACTTTCACTGATTGTATCATTATTTTGCATTCTACATGGTGCTCTGCAACATGTTACTCAGAGGTGCATTCATAAACTTATAATCCATTTAGGCATTATCATATTTCAAAAAATTAAGTGGTCTACAGCAAATTATTTTTTAAAAAATGAGGAGAGAGGCTGATGGGGAGGGAGAGCCAACAAGAGCTCCAAACTCAGACGCCATTGATGATTAAAATGCAGGCAGGAGGAACCGACTGAGACAGTGAAGAAGAAAAAGTACTTCTTTCAAACAAAAGCGCTAACACACTACCTGTGGTTGCAGTACAACAGGAAAGCTTTGCCTTTGCTTTGTATTGTGAGTAATCAGGCCCATCCATTGCAGGCAACTCTAAACGTGTTAATGGGTCAACACAGGTTAACCCTCTGTACACCAAAATCCAGTTACAAAGGCATGTTATTTTTTTGAAAGCCATCAAGATCACCCCATTTATCAGAGGCAGAACCTGTAAAAACAGACAGAATCGTTGGCTTTTCAATTTTCCAAATATCCAAAACTAGTTGTTTGGGACGTGCAATTCTGAGCAATGTCAGCAAAATCACTTTATTCTGCATGTGTTGTTTAAATTCACCAAAAATATGGTTTACATGAACCAGACAACCAACACATTTTGCGGACCTCACTGTGACCAGCAGTCAAGTCACAAAAATTTCAGCTGAACTGGGCTTAACTGCAGGCTGTGTTTACACAGAGCTAACCGGAGGAAAGTATGACAACTAAATAAAATATAAATATCTGTAGTATGTGGAGTCCAGTATTGGTAACACCAGTGTGCTCTTGGAGAAATGTTGTTCATGTTGATTCTATTTTTCTTTTTTTTGTTAACTTAATAATCAAAGAAATAAAACTTTTTCTTTTTGTGATTTATGGCACTATAACTTTGTTGTACCGCACAAAAGACATTTTTGAGTTCTTCGTATTTCTAGGAATGGTTTGGTGTGTTTCCTTAGAGGTGTGGGATTTTATATTGCGGTAAAACATTAACCTAATAACAGAAAACCTACAGGGACTGATATATGACCTTAAACACTGAGCACATCTAGACTACTTTAAAGCTGTTAAACAACTTTTCATCAGCATGCAAGAATACTGGTTGATACCCAAAAAGGGTGTAACCAAATCATGTGTTGATGAGACCAACTGAGAAAGCTGGTGGCTGGCTACACTAGTGCAATGCCTCTTCTTAAGTGTGCTTTCTTATCACTGCTTTAACAATTATTGACTGTTGTCTTTCTTTGAGTGGCCAACAGCTCTGAACACATTGTCCCTTAGATGAGGTCAAAAGACGATTTTTTAACTGGTTTGTTTGACACCTTGTAGTAGTATTTGAAGTTCTGTTCTAACTGAAGCACATGCATCACTTGAATTCTCCATCCAATCATTGTTGGAACATGGGAGCTCAAAGCCTGTCCTAGCTCACACAGTTTCTAGTGCTGTTAAATGGGCCATGCATTTCCGAGCATGCACATATGTGCATAATGTATGTGTATAACTTTGTCAGCCTAGTTTTTAGCCAAGTTTCTCTCCTGCCTTGAGACCAGTCAGTCATTCAGTCATCCACTGCATCAGTCATCTACCTACACAGCCAGTCAGTTAGTTTTTGAAGTGTGTGTCCTATCAACCCAGTTTCCCGTCTCTCTGGGTGTCACATGTTGTCAAACCAACAGCTGAGCAACAGCTCGGCATTCCCATTAGAGTCGCTTCACTAGAGCACAGCCTGTTCCTCTAAGATATCACCTTATAGACTGTTCATTCACAAATTTCAGCGAACCATCTGTACAATGAGCAACCTGTCCCTAATTTGATTTGGCTAATTGTGAGCAGGTGCACACAGTGTCCCATCATTTACTAAAGCTGCAGTTGATCATGAAGTGTTTCATTTGGATGTGGAAGCAGATCTCAGTCTCAGTTTTCCATTAAAAATTGCGCTATCTTGGTGGCAGTTTACAGTCAAAAGATCATCTGAGGACACATAAAACATTAAAGGCTTAGCACAAATACCACACACAATAGCAACATGAAATTTAAGGGCTTTGCTGTAATGACTGAATGAATGCCACTGATCTCAAAACAATATTTTTTACTTATTACACAATTTGATTCAAAGCTGTATGTCCACTCTATCAAAACCTGGCATGTCCTGATTTGTTTTCCTCCTCTGCTCTACTCTGATCTGCTCTGTTCTTGCGTCTCACCTTGGTAGTGAGGATACAGATGCAGTCCATCCTCACCAGTCCGACCGGAAAACTTTCACCAAAACATCTTCCATCCGCAACTTTCCTGTTCCACCTCTCAGCCGCTTGTTGCTATTGGTGCCATCCTTCTGCCGTCTGCTTGTCTCTGTCTCCTCCTTTCCATTCATCCCTCAATCTCTCTCTCCTCCCTTTCTCATGTCATCTCCACCTGTCCTTTCATCAGAGCAGCCAGACAGGACCTCACTGCTAAAATAGAGGCCGATTCGGAAACATGGCAGCTGTCCTGGTGTACCTAAACCCGCCCTCCTGTTTTCCAGCTGCTGTCTTCATTTTATGGCAGCTGGTAGCCACATTTTGACCTCGAAGAGTGCATGGCTCAGAATATATGTCAGCACACACGCAGAACACAGTCAGCACACAAAAAAACAGCCAAACATCTAGAGACAGGCGCAGAAACGCATACACATGGATGCACAGGCAAACACTCACACAGGCAGACGTGTTCTCTCAGACATAAGCACACACACAAATTCATATACTACACACACCACTCTCTGCTGTTTTATCAGGTCAGGTCTCTTGTTTGGCAGGAGTGGGGGATTAGACTGAGTGAGCAGTAACAGCGGTATAGCAATGGATGCTCTACTTTCAACTTTGACTGTGGGTATGGGTGAAGTTAAAGCTCCATATGCAGCCTGAAGCTTCACACGGAGATGGATTTCATTCAGTCAGGCTTTTTCTAGATACACAACATTACTACAGTTGACAGTAAACATGAACTGTTACAACATACTGTAATATACGAACTACAGAAGACCTGCGGTGCAGCGAGAGCTGGTAAAGTTGGGCGGAGCATAAAATTAATGTTTCACGCAAATCTGTAGCATCACACGAACACATGCATGCACACAGTGTCCTACTCTACTTCTGGCCCTGAATTCATTGTTGGTTATCTCCTGATGCTCGCTGTTGCCAGCAAAAAAAAGTTGTCAGTTTTTCTGTGCAGGGTTGTGCTAATGAGCATTATTATTAGGTCTTAATTTCTCACTAAAACTATTCCAGTAACCCTGTTCCTTTAACAGTTCAATAATAAGCAATGCATTTGATTTAAACTTTGGTCCCTTAATACTGCCAAATTCAAAACTGCCCTTTTTGTCTGATTAAAAACTACTACTAATATTTCCATAGAGGATAGCAAAATTAATCACCCTAGTTTTTCCATTATAATTGGATTAAATATGAAGAAATACCCAAGCAGCACTTGTATCTGAAGTTAGTACCAACTAAGACGAAAGCAGTATATACCTGAAAGGACAAATGTGGCCTGATGCATATACAAGCACTGTGAAGACAACAACTGCAGTATTAAGACAACTCGTCAATACAAACACAATCTCCCAAGATGTGTGCTACCAGCAGACGATCAATGTAACAATGTGTCCAGTGTAAGCCGGCGGTCAAACAGCACAAGTTGCAAAGAAGGCATTCAATCCCTATTTTAAGAAGATCAACAAGACAAAACCAGTTGCATCAACCCTCTGAGCTCATTCTGCTGACTCCACTGAACAATAAAAAGTGACTGAACTGAATTGATTCCTGTTGTCATATTATGTAATGCAAAGCCAATGTTCAAACAGCCAGCCTGCATAAATGACCCGTCCATCTCATTCAGCCTGCTGCAGCCATCAGGAGGCTTTTGATGTACTGATTCAAGAAGAGAGACGCTGTCACTAGTAAAAATATGATTGCCCCATATCAAAACTATTTCCATGAGGGAGAAGTGATATGTGACGCATTAAAATACTGAAAAAAATTCTAATTGAAAACCACACATTCTGTATAATTTAATTATATTGGACCTAAAACACCAGGAAACCTTGTTATTCTGTATTCGCATTAGCAAGTAGACATAATGACTTTATATCTACAAATGTCAAGACAGTGTTCCAAAAACGTTTCAGTTCAGACAGGGTGCAGAAACAAACCCTTTGGAGCTAAAATAGAATTCCATTATCACAAAAGCTCCAATCATTCAGGGTTTAGAAGATAATAGATATTATCCAACCATAGTTCTAACACAGGTGTTTTGCTGATACTACATACAAATCTGTTCTGTGTATTTTTTCAAGTTCACAGACAATGATGAGAAGATATATTTTGCAAGCATTGTATGTTGCAGCACTACAGAGTGTCATAACAAAGGTTTATACTACCTGATGCACCCCATCCAGCAAAATAAAATCTGTATATACAGTCAGAATAAGATATTAAGACCGCGAAATCTACTGAAATCTAAATCTTTACCACTTGACCATATAGCCATAATGAATTGGAGTCTCACACAGCAGCAACACAAGAAAACCTGTCAAGCTCTCCACAGCACTGGAACAAAAAGTACATAACGAAGGTCAAATTTTGATATTAAAACTACTCCACTAAAACATGTCCTCACTTTTCTTTCTCTTGCTACTCAAGTTTGACACCCAACAACAAATCACCCACCATCTGAGAGGAGGCAATCTGTATGTCACTCTGCTATGAACTGCAGAGAAATTTCCAGCAGGTTTCCTGAGGCGTTCAAATAAAATGAGGGATGTCTTACCTTGTTGGAGATCAGTGGGCTTGTAGGTGGTCTGGAGCGGGCCGGACCATGGCCGGGGCCAGCAGAGGTGACTTTTACTGGTCCAGGGCTGGTTGGACTGAGATGAAAGTTCAGAGAGAGAGGATGTCTAGAGGTACACTCAGGAAAACTACCAGTAACTACATTGTACTGTCTATACCTAAGATTGTTGTTGATTGACTGAACACAATTCAAGTTGTGAATTAAACTATTTTCTGTGTATTAATCTTAGTCACTGTCTGGGCATTTTTTATTCTTTACATCGCCACATTTTTACTCACTGTGGGTTAAGTTTTTTACTGCAGTATAAAGTTCTGCATCTTTAATGTAAACAGCAAATTAAACAAAATGGAGACAATACGTTCAGAATTTTTCTAAATGCCCACAGGTGTTTCCAAAACTGGAAAATGGGGGCTTTACTTGTTACAGATTGATTGATAGATACATAAGCTAACAACTTTTGCAAACTAAGTGTTTTTCAACAACAACAAAAAAAAATTTAAAGAGACATGTAGAATAAACTGATGTTGATTAAACACATGACACATTCAGACCCTCGGAAAAGGAAAAAAAGTCTGACAATTCTTTCTGTTTTTACAGTTTCTTGTTACAAGTATAATTAGGACATGGTGTAATTTTGACAACATTCTAAAAAGCATGTGCTTTTCAAATCTGTCTGCAGGTTTTGAGCTTCAGAGCGACTAACACCAGGGATTTTAAAAACGTTTCTTGCATTGGCCTTTGTGCTTCATTTTTGGTGGAAGTAAACCAGCTATTTAGCATGAGCAGCATAGGTTCAGTACAATAGCCAATTAAAAAAGAACCTCCTGTAATACTTCAGCTTTTATTAATAAGAAACAAAGAAAAAACTCTTGTTTTGTCCAGATGTGTAGTGCTAATGCTTCATTGCTTTCGTATTCCCTAGTGAATTTCCCAGAGTTACATTATCAGCTGAGTTTGTTAAAATATCACTAACAGTTACGTGTTAAACTACAATGACAATTAAAATGTATTTTCATGTTACTAGAAGTTGAACTGAAGAAAATCCATTTTTGGACATACCTAAGATGAGGTCCTTTGTTCAGCTGCCCAGGTGGACTTGTGGGACTGCGGCTACTGAAGGTAAACTTTCCATAGTTGGGGCTCGTTGGACTCAGGCTGGGAGTAACTTTGCCCAGTCCGGGGTCCTTGGGGCTTGTAAGAGGTGGAGAGACTACGGTAGCGTCTGTGACTCTGCTGAGACCCGGACTGGTGTTTGGAGTGGTGCTGCTAGGCGTAAGTTTGTCTGGAGTAGTTGGAGATACAAGGCCTTGGATGGTGCCGGAGACAAGGGCGGAGACCGTCACCAGATTGAGGTCGGGGGAAGCAGAAAGGCTTTGTGGACTGGTAGAGCTGTCTGAAGTGCCGCCAGAGCTAGCAGCAGTAAGATGTGGTTTAGATCCATTCAATACAACTCCAGGAGATGTTTTAATGGAGCTAGAAGGGGTCTGTACACTGCTGACACCGAGGGAGGTTGCACCAGAGGGAGAAGATGGTTTAGAAGTGTCTGCTACCACTGATGTGGAGGTTCCAGGCTGGACAGGAGGAAGAGGAGCACGATATTTGACTTTGACTGACTGAGTTGTGCTGGACTGTGTTGTAGGGGACGATTGCTTGGTTGCAGGTATTCCCGATGGGACTGGAGGGGCAGGGGACTTGATTGATCTGGGTTTGGGGGTCAGCGGTTTGGTTTGGGGTGGTCCACCAGAAGCCTGGGGGCTCAGGGGAGTCGTGGAGGGCTGTGGCTGGGTTGAAGGTTCTGCTGGCAGGTTGCAGGAGGCACTGAGTTTCCCAGGACCATCTAACTGATCCGCAGAATGCTTGCTGTCTGCAAGGATTGTCAGCTCATAGTACTCCTGGATATCTGGAGAGAACAGGATAGATTAGAGTCACGATGAATGACTACAAGGTTTAGTGATTTAGTAAATGAGAATATGATATATTGCTGAGATGGATGAATAATTGAGTACATGACTGTATAGATGAAAGTCGAACTAATTACATAATAAAATCGATGAAAACAATGAATGCAAGTCAGGTTTTCTCTGAACGATACAGAGCAGTAACGCTGATTAAAACAAAGTTAAATTGATTACCAATAATGCTTCCAGACATTTACACTCATCAATAACAAACTCCAAGAACATTTCCTACTTTAAAAATTCAATATGTAAGATTTTGAACATAAATATAACATTCCTATAGCAGCAAACAACTATGTGCTATGAAGATATAGTGGAGTAATGGCATCCTTAGCAGAGACTGAGGTCACACTCAGTATGTGTGTGTTGAAATTTAAGCTACATGTTCTATGTTTTGATAACCTGTCCGGCTGCGTGTGCATGTTAGTGCATACTAGCACATGTATGTCCGTTCCTTTGAAAGCGCTGGCTCTCCCCGTGTTGATAACAAGACTGACGCTGTCCCACACTATGCGATAAACGCAGACGTACAGTCTGAAGCATTGCGCTGTCCTCTGCTCTCTGTTTTACCATGTTTGGTCCCTTCGTCGTGTGTCATAGTAAAACAGACACACACAGAGCAGAGTGGAGGAGATACAGGTAAGGTGAGGATAACACTACTTGAGTTGACAATAAGTCGTTATTGTCATTTAATGTATTTTGCAATGCTAGCATGGGCTAATGGTTGTTGCAGGATTGTTTTTTTGTTGGCCCTCGTGCACACAGTCTTTCTGGTTGGCACCTAAACACGGACAAAAGGGGGAGGTTTGGTCAACATTCATTTGTTTTAGTCTGAAATACTGGTGCTCTAGTGCAAAAAACAGTAGTTCTACATGTTGCATAACACAGCTTTATGCTCTGACAAACCTTTGTTGCTTTTTTTTTGTTTTGTATCATGATAAACTAAAAATCTTAGGATAAAGAGAAAAGTTAAATGAACTAAATGAGATATTTTTTGCTTGATCTATAAGCAGGCAATGAAAAAAACAATATATGGACTTATGTTTTATGGAGTAAAATAATCAAATGATAAAGCCCTAAAGAAGTGTTCCAAATACAGACGCTCTTAATTACTACTGGATATTGCACATAAAATCTTTCAGTTGCAAGCAACACTAAGCCGATGACAAAAGTCCCTAATTTTCTAAGTACACTAGTAAAGAAACCAAATGAAAGATAGCTAATACAATCAGGACATCTAGTGGCAGCATACGGATACTGTCACCATAGTTACACAGAAAAGTGCCTCCTGAAGTATCCTGGCTTCCCCACCTAAAAAGGTTCATCCCACTGTCATTTCCTTTTTGAGATGTAAGCACAGTGACAGAACGTATCAGTGACTTATGATCAGAGGTTTCACTTCCCCCTCTCTACAACTGACAGGCAGTTCTGCATTAAATCTGTGAGCTCAGGTTGCCAAATCGGGCAAGTTTGGTGGTCATAAAAGAGATGACGAAGAGGAAGAAAAAAGAGGTACTCATAGTGGGAATAGGTTGCAGAGTAATGTACAAAAAGAAGAGTACAAAAATGACTTTAAAACACGCATTCATGATGGAATTACCAGTATAGTAACAGAGAGACACATCCTTGCCTTCATGACAAGTGGGAATCAATAAAAGATTCTGCATATTAAACACAACAGGGACAGCACTGTTTCACAATACAACTTTTAACACATCTAACAGCTCGGTTAAAGGTCGAAACCACATTTAAAAACAGGAACTCAGACTCATGCAGGCTCATGCTCACAAAACAGAGACAGGCGTGTTCCTGTGAGAGTTAAAGGTGTGGGTGGAGCACTGAGCAGGTGGGACCAGGAACTAAGAACCAGTTTGGCGTCATGCACATAACCACACAGACACACATGTGCCTGGTATTTTTCTTTCAATAAGCTACAGCTAAATACTAGTTAGAATGTTAACTGATTGGAGGAATTTCTACACTGCACATTTGCAACATGCGTGTCTATGTGCTACAAAGAACTCTGTGTTGTCTGTGACAGCCCATGACACATCTACATGTGTGTGCTCTGATCTCCATTTCCTGGTTACCAGTCATGAGACTGGCCAGCTCAAACATCTTGTCGACACTATGACCACTACAGTGAGCAAACATACTCTCTTTGTCTTGTAATCAGTCCAGCATTCTGTCTGCAGACACATTTTACTACTGTTGGACAAAAACATAGGAATGTTCCTGCCTTCAAGCTTTCTTATATAGTCTGAAGCCCACTGCATCATAACAAATAGACACACAGCTCCATTGATTGTTGAGTCCTTTGATTGACAAGACATGCCAATCTGTAAAACATGGACAAACAAACCTGGCTGTCGCAACACTTCATTCCTGCATGATTTAATGTAAACTACTTCTCTTAGAAAGCAAAAAGGCAATGTTTTGGTTGAATTAACCTTTTACTGGAGCGTAGCAATGCTGATTTATATACCTTGAGCTCCAGTAAGACAAAATATGCCCCAGGGCAGGAAATTGGGCACATGTAAAGATCAAAATGATGCTAAATTTGCTTTAAATTGCATTTAACATTCAACTAAAAACAGCCCACACACAGCATCACTTCACCTTCAGTATTCTTTCAAGTTTTCCCATAATCTAGAAATCACCTGATAAAAGGTGAGCAAATTTTCTTACCAAGAAGAGCACTAAAGAGCTGGCTTTGGAAGACATTGATGACTCGGTCCAGAGACTGCTGCAGCTGGCAATCCTCCTCCGTGAAGGCCCGTTTGGTCGGGTTCTGCTGTCTCTGGTCTAGCTTGGCTCGATACTGCTGGAGCAACTCTAGGGCTCGCTGAGCATCTAAACACAACACATACATACATAAATAAGCAGCAAACTTATTTTTTTCCACATAAGAATGATAAAATTCTCTGAGCATACTTAAGAAGAGACAAGTGATTAGGTACTGCACGTTAAAAGTCAGCTTTATGAAGTAGTTTACAGGTAGCTGGAGGCTCACTCACCCATCTAACTGACTCAAAAATAGAGTTTAGAGTGACAGTTACAGTCGTCCTCAAATTTATTATACCCTTCCATTAAAGAAAAGGCAAAATTCACAATGGTCACTCTAATAACTAGAAACTGAAAAAAGCAATAATATATATATTTTTTTTTTTAAATGCTAAATTATACTTTAGTGAAATAAGATATTGCTTTTGAATTGTGGTTTAAAAGAATAATTAAGAAACAAAAAGCAAAACTGTCCCAGACAAATTAGAGCACTTTGCTGATGAGCAGTGGACCAAAATCAAAATACCTGTCAACAGGTGCAGAAGTCTGATTGAGAGTTACAGAAAACACTTGATTGGCTCAAAGGATTGTTCAACAAAATATTAGTTTACAGGTCCCATCATGCTTGTTTTTTGTTGTTGTTGTTTGTTTGTTTGTTTTATTTATTTATTTATTTATTTTTGGGGGGGGGAGCTCTGTTCAATCACAATTCAAAAGCAATGTCATGATTTTCATTCAATTTTTATTTATTATTACTTTGGTCTATTTCAACTTATCTCAGTGACAGCTGTTTTTTCCTTCTTTAATGAGAGGGTGTGAATATATTTGAGGACGGCTGTATATGTCTTTCCATGGGAACAGTAGATAAACTGTATCTGTGTGCAATTTATGGATTGAAAACTGCAATTCAGTTTTATTGCCCTGTCTCTATGTTGCCCTGACGCCCTCGTGCTGAAGGGCATCAGGGCAATTGAGTTAACGTAGTAAAGGAAGGTGCAGACTGCATTCCAGTCTCTCTGAACAGCTGATTAAACCGAAACTAAGCATGCGAGCGTTTAACTTAACGCATACAGGTTTTTTTTTTTAGTATGGAAAGATGTCAAAACATTTAGTTCACAGCAAATCATGGAGTTCTATGTGCGCTAATCACTCGCAACGATCTTTATTGATAGCCTTCGGCATGAAATTATCCATGACAAGTCAAAGCAGCTAAAGTGTCGCTTTGTGAATAATATCCACGCCGAATTTACAACATTGTCGAACAAGTTACTGAGAGTTGTTGAGTAGTGTTGTACAATGTACGTGCGCGTACTTATAAACAATTCAGGCTTAAATTAAAGCGTTTTTAAACCAGCTTCGTGCTGAGAGGAGAGGAGCGCCTCGCGGAGCTACACGAACGCAGCCCGTAGGAGTGCTTAAAACTGATTTGTTTGAACTTATTTCTTGAACAAAACGAAACAAAATATCAGGGGAATAAACTTCAAAGGTGGAAATAAACAACGAAGAAGCATTTTTTTGTATTATTTACCTTTCTGTCGCACAGGCATGGTGGCACGCTCGGTCCTCCTCCTCCTCCTCCTCCTGCCCGGGGCTCGCTGTCTGTTATTACAGATGTGTGCGTCTGTCCCGCCGCAGCCTGCTGCCAAACTGGGACGCCGAACTGTCACCACCACGGCGGCAAGAAAAAAGCAACAACCTGTCGTGTCGTTAAAAGAAAATAAAACTTGATAAAAGTGTTTCAAAAAGAAAAGAAGAAAAAAAAAAGTTGGACAAAAAAAAAAGCGACGCACGCGCTGTCAACAATAAACGTTGACGGACGTCGCGTGGACTTAGAACCCGGAGATGTGATGTTGCTAGCTTAGCTTTTCTGTCTCTCTTTCGCTTTAAGTCTCTCTTCGGGCAAAACTAGTTCTCCATTTCTTCATCCAGGTGACTCAAAACGCCGTCCGACCGGTTAGGCGGTCCTGTGGGATGAACACACTCTCTCTCTCTCACACACACACATTCATGCACTCGCCTCAAAACAGCAATAAAGCAGGTTTGAGAGGCTCTCGATAAGAAGCTTGTGTCTTGGAGGTATTGTCATGCTAAACAGCCATATTGTGCGCAGTGGATGAAAGCCCGCTCTATTCTCGGGTGTGTACTGGATTCACATGTAATCCACTCAACGCTGAGGGTAGATTTTTGGGTTTTACAGATACTGATCCGACTCCCACATTATATCTGTACCTCCCATCCCTTGTTCTCTTTAGCTCTTACTGCTAAATTGTGTTTGTTTTATTCCATACAAACGCACGAAAAGTACAAGACAAAGGGGTTTAAATTGCAGTGTCACAAGTGTAACTCCAGCAGCAGTTCAAGCAAGTTCATCCCTGTGTGGGTTTAGTGGGCTTGCCATTGTAAATTGTGTATTTTGATGAGCAAATCAAAATCATCCTCTAACCAAAGCTTATCCCTTTGCACAGACAGTGTACGTGTCACCTCTGTTTGGTGAGGTGTGGGCACAAAAACTAGGGAAAGATCAGGGGTTGGGTCAACATATTGGATTTTTGTTGTCATGGTTGAGACAACAAACACACAGCTGAGGCTATGGAACAAACACGGGTAAAAGAAACACTGAATACTGGTTTAAAACAGGAAACGTATAGCATGTCCTGTAATGTTTTGTTGACCCATACATCCACTCCGACCTCTTCCTTGGGTCTTGATTGTTGTTTTTTTCTGCTGATGCACAAGCAGACTGCTGTGGACACCACAGACTTGTAGCTATTGTTATTTATACTACAGTGCTGCCTATTTATTATCACACTCTCGGTCCAGGATGGATTTATGACCATATCTGGGATATTCCAATGAGCGGGCTTCAAGATGGCGGCGAGTTTGGGTGTGAAAACTAGCCTAGGTGCTGGACCAGCCCGATCTACATGGCCTACACGAACTTAGCATGTATTTGGGAAATAAAGTATTTAACTAAAGAAAATATTTAGGTTTACTTAAACGGAGCTTTATGGTTTTGTTTCAGTGAAATTTCACCTTTGTCGGTACGAAAAGCCACCCCATCAATAAAAGTTATTTCCTTTAATCAGACGGCATACAGAGGAATAACTTGTCATGATTAGCTAGCTGAGCAGTTCAGTTATGAGTGGTCTGCAACAATGCAGCTCTCTTTGATGTGCCCTAATTAATGTTGGACAGTGTGTGAATAACTCAGTGAAGCAGATCTTAGGTGAGCAGGTAATTGATAAACAAACACATTGCCTTCTGCGGCTGACCAGGGTGTGATAATCTGCCATGCATCACCGACACTGAGCCATAACGATCAGCCGACCGTGACTTTAAACGGGCAAAAGTTATTCCTGAAATCAATTTCAGGGAATTTTGTTATGACAAAAACCGTGATTCTGACATTATTTTATGACAATAAATGGGCTGTTTTACTATAGGTTATATAGGATTCAGCTAAGCTTCACTCAGGTGTTCTTCTAAAAAAGGGACAGTTGTGACGTTAGCTGTCTGTCAGGGATTTGCTCAAATACAGAAGCTAACTGCTAGGGATAGTTAGATTGCAGTGTCCTGTTTTCTACTTAAACACAAAAGACACAAATTGGCAAAATAAGATGCATTTGGGCTCAGTCCTTATGCTAAGCTACGCTAAGTACATCTGACAAATCAGTGCATTTCACCAAGTGATGGACTGTATTTTTTTATATATTTTGCACGAATGGCAAGTTTATTTGAATTCTTCTGATAATGTGGGTACAAGGTCAGCATATATTAACTGTACAGACAGCCGTCAGAGTCAAAAGAAAAAACAAAGAAACAGTAATCAGGAAAATTAGAAATTCAAAGTTCCTGTGTGTCGGACACATCCTGTGTCTGTGGACAGTGGAGCGGTTGTAGGGACACTTCATCAGCACAGCACACATGCGCAGACAGCAGCTGAATGCAGGTCATGAGCTCAGTCTCTGGTATTGTTATCGATCAGGTCACAAGAGGTTATTGACTGCTTTGGTGGCTGCACAAAAACTCTCACTCAGTATCTCTTACACATGGCAACACTCACACTAATTCCAGGATAATATATGAGTCAGTGTGGGGAGAAATGCATGCATGATTGTGTAAGTGGGTTGCTCACTCAGCACACAGAAGTATCTTTTTGTCCAAAGCAGTGTGTAAAAGACAGAGTAAAGAGGAAAGAGAACAAAGGGGCGTCATTCTGCTTTTGCCAGTGCGTGCATTAGTGTGTGTACAGTGTTGCGCTCTATTGTTTATTGTCGGCCTGTACCACAGTAAGCGGAGTTGTTCTACAGCGGGCACTGATGCCAGGAGGACGGTGGGGAATGGTACAAGTCACATTCAGGGGAGAGGTTTAGGCAGTGATAAATATCTGATTATAACGCAGCTTCCTATTATGTACTACAGTGGTGTTCTCATTGCTTTGATGCTGTTTTTCTGTCTGTTTGAACACTTTATGCACTATGTAAAGCACGCTAAGTCCCCTTTGTGTATGCAGCGTGTTATACAGTTCAAGTCGTCTTGCTTGCACTGTGTAAAAGTGAAGTCAGCAGTAGTACAATAAGTTCTCAGATACTTTTCTAGTGTAAAAATATGCACAAATAAATTTACAATGTGCTCATTCTGCAGAAAATATGCTAAAGTGAGTTGACTCGAATGTAATTATTCCCACATCACTGGGTATTTTAAATAAAATCCATCATATTTTATAAGCAGCTGATGTGTTGTAAAATCATAATAAAAAAAAGTATAATCAGATGTATGTAAAAGTCTGAACACATGGGCAAATGACATAATTTGTTGAATTTTGAACTGGCTGATGTTCCTGTGATGGTTTTTAGAGACCAACATTCGACAAAGACTAAAAGTTACCCTCTTGCAAATATTTTATAGTATGATGTTCAAGAGTCCCTCTGGTGTAAGGTAAGTTTTTTTTTTTTTACCATTACAGGTCAATTTGATGTTGTCAATACATTACAAATGAGCAAAATCAGCAATCAATGTCGTAACCGATTAGTTCCACCTTAAAACTGCAGTTTACCAATGATGGTCTCAAAAACAAGGATTCAGGTTCCAGAGTTTCATACATAACAATCCTGTCAACTTGCAGAGTGGAGATTTCTGTATCAACATTCCTTCTCACGGTAGGTTTCCAGTTTAACGTGTGACTGAATTACTTCAGTGTTACAACTTGCCATTGTGTAGCATGTTTGAGCAGAGTTCTAGGCGAGCTGGTGTGCTCGAAATGCAGCGAGTGGTGGAGAGTTGAGAGAGGCGGGGGGCTTCATAGATCTGTACAAGCAATGTTGTACATCTGAGCCAGTTTAAGGCAGGGTGTGACTATTTTCAAGGGGAAATCTTTAAAATATTTAACTTTAATACACATAGATGACTTTACAGGGGGTTTAATCAGCGACAGAAGAGGAAGTTCAAACTCACAAAGGTCAAAACAACACGTTAACTTCTTTACGTTGACGCCTACCGAATGCTGATTGAATGAGTACATTGGCGAAGTGGGGGTAGAATTTAGCTGGCCTAAATAATTGAATGTCTTTGTCATTAATGCACATTATCGGATAATGTAAGTAAATGAAAGGTGGAGGTGTAGTCCAGAGAGGACAGGATGGTCAAGAGCAGTAAGAACCTCTCTCATTGTTTAAACTACACTTTCCAAATGGAAATGATGGCTGGTTTCAGGGTTTGTCTCTGAACGAGCTCAGGGGGAAATCCCAGAAAAAGCAATGTAATTATTCCCAATCAATAACTGATAATTTCCTCCGGTGTGTATGTAGAAGGCAGTAAGATTTTTATACTTACGATAATAGTCATGGTTTTGGTAGACTCTGGAAGACACTCTGTTTGTGAGGAGGCCGGATAAAGTCAGCGGTCCCTCTGTGATCCACAGATCAGATAAGTGTAAGGGATAGATGAGATGGAAGGATGGAGAGGGATGAAGAAGAGTCAGGTTGTTAGACTAATGGACAGACACACAAAGGAGCATCTGCTGAGATGCTGAGAGGCTCTGCTGAGTTAATCCGTACAGGAGCAGAGGTGACTGTAATCTCCCACAGACGTACACAGGCCCCTTATTTATCCATCACTTCCTTTACTTACCTCATCTCTTACTATATCCTTTACCCTTTTCATATCTGCCCCTATTGCTGTCTGCCTTAGTTCCTTCTTCCATTCACTCCTCTTGTCCTTCTTTCAGTGCAGTGTCACTTTCCTTCCTCCTTTCTGTTTTTTCCCCTCATTTTGGACTCTGCATTTCGTAAATTCTTTTCATTCTTTCTTCGTCCCTCTCATTCTTTCCATTGTCTCTTCCTTTCGTTTCCTCTACAGAAAAAGCAGACAGAGAGACATCTCATTCCTCCTAAAGACAGACTGCAGTGCACCAGAAGAAGCCCATATTACCAATAGTGACATTTTTATTATTTGTACAATAGAGACTTTAGTACATTATTCAAAACACTTCTTATATACTGAAAAAATGGTACGTCCCAAAGCCCAAAATGGCTCCAGTATAATCGCTGCACAGCATTTTTTCAATTTTATACATATATTATTTTTTGTAAAAACTGTATCTTAAATAGTATGTACAGATAGCGTCTGCAAAATGCATTCTAAACACATGATATATATTATATATACTTCGGCAATTACATTTCTCCGCATTAATACTCAAACTTAAAACTGGAAGGATTTCAACTTGCATGTGCAAATAAATAAAGAAATAAATAGTTCTGTTAAATCGTCACTAAAATTTGTCCAACTTATAACTCGACAGCGTTTCTCTCTTCGGAGGTCAAAGTACTTTTTGTCACACAACAGAAGAAGCAGCATTCAAGTTGGGTAGGTGTAGGTACTGCAGAAAGCATGAGTACATTCACAATCAATATGAGTCATTTTAAATTGGATTTCATTCACAGCTATGTACAGTGACACCGTCCTCATTTGTTCAGCTCTTATGTAGTTTAAACACATAGAAAATGACTGTTTTTATAGTCATATACATATATATATAATATATATTTGTATAACACAAATTCACAATTACAGTAGAAATACATTTTATACAGTTTGGATAGTACATGTGTAGGTCTCCAAGTCATACTGTGCGTACTTCCATCCATAACTTTGTTATAAGTGTCATTATAAAATATCACAATTTTTGAGCAAAGCTAAGGTATATCAATATATTTAGAAAGAATTACCTGAAACATGTAGTAAAAAATAATTATATTATCAAACCTTTTTCTCTGTTCTCATCGCAATATCTTTGATATTTCAAACTCTAAATAGGGTCGGGTGGGTACCTGTGGTTAAATCTCTGAACCACCTGATTAAACTGTGCCATTTTGTGTCCTTTGTGTTGAATTAACAGAAATCTAATGCTTAATAGGAGAGCTGACACAAAATGCGCACAGTATGTCATGTCAAGTAAAAAGCAAAGGACAGCGAGGCATGTTGTTTCGCTCTGGATGAAACATCAGATGTTTTACAGAACAGAACAAAACTCACTGTCATGAAATGTCTTCAAGACGTGTTGCATTTGCACAAAGACAGAAAATGAACATCTTTACTCTTATTTGTGTTACGTCTGTCATGTCAATACAACTTAGGATAGACCACACTGCCATGGCTCCAGCTTTGGCCAGAAACCTCCTATAAAATCTCACATTCAGTATCCAAGTGTGTCTTTTTTCCTGCTCTATTTATTATCTAACTTCAACTACAACCTGACTTTATCTACATTTCGCAACAAAGTCAGCTGATCTAAATTTCACTGCACACTCTTAGTGTCTATATTCATCTCTTCAGGTTACCAAAGTTACACCGAAAATTCAAGTGTAACAAAAAGCAGATGAGATCTTTCCCTGATTGTCTAAGGAGGGAAAATCAAGTCACTAACACCGTGTGTTACACCTTACTCATCATTGTAGGGACACTCTTTTCCCTTGTTGCTTTCCACAGGAAGGCCAGAGGTTAGGACACTTCAGCAGAGCAGATGCTTGCTGACACTTGATTCGAAGCTGGGCCAACAGGTAAAAACCAGTTTCCCCGCTCACTAAAGCCACACTACTGCTCTCGCTGTGTGCACGTCAGATCTGGGCCACAAAGAAGTAAAGCTCTAATGATGTGGGCCTGTTTAAATACAACCAAGGAGCGGCAGAGGGTCCATATGGCACCAATAATAGAACATCGTTCTCACTGAAATTCAGTGCTATAATAGAGTCTTCTAGAGTGTAGAAACATCTAGAATAGAAAATGGCTGGCTGTCAGTGACCAATGATATGAAAGCATGCTGTGACTGTATCATACAACACAAACACCTAGAAAGGGATGTGGCATTGCTGTGACAAAGACTTCAAAAGATGGCACAGATATTATTAATGGTGTTCAGTGTGAGTGTGAATGGTTTTATAATAGAACTTGTATTCTAAAATTATAGTCAGGGCTTCATTATGCAACAGTTACCAAGTGTTGTGTATGGGGACACAGAAGTCTTTGTGGGTGTGTTTTGCCTGTTAGTTCATGTGCATGGCAGTGTGTGTGTAAACATTAGCATGACTTGGTCGATAGATGGCACTGCAGGACAAGCTAGGCTCTGCTGAAAAGCTCAACGGGCTGAGCCTCAGAAATATTGCTTTAGCTCTTTTCAGCACAGCTGTGCAAGCAACAGTTTCCTAAACAAATAAACAAAAAAACAAGTAGCAATGATGAACTATGAAAAGTGTTTTCTATACAGATAAAATAGTGATATACTTTAGAAAATCATCCATTTGGAGAAATGATCCCTGTATGTTCACAGGAGAGAATTCAGAATATAGTTTATCAACAATAATTATAATAATCATAAACTTTTAGAGCTGTCTGTTCAGGCCCCAAGGAGAGAGCAGCTCTGGAAAGCTGAATCTCTATATATGTACACAAGGCAGAAAGTCTTAAGTTTTCAATTTCTGTACACTGGAGGCAATATTACCTGCAGAATTGAACAAAAGACAGCAGAAAGGAAAAAAACACAAGATGGCAAAAGAAAGAGAAGAATTGAGAAGAAAATAAGGTACAAAAGAGGGACAAAAAGAATAGAAGACAGCAGAGAGAGAGAAAAAAAAAAGGTTTAACAGAAGAACAATGAAGAACATGTGCTACACCAAACAAATCATTTATCATCTACCATGGACAGCAAGAAAAAGGCAGTGGAGAAAAGCAAAAAATACCCCAAAACTCTAACTAACCAACAAAAACAAACTACTCAGACTGACTGATCAGATGACTGCCTAATTAACAAACCAACCACAAAATCCAAACTGCAGCAGCCCTGTAGGGACTCAAAGTGTGGAGTCCTCTTGTGGTCCGTCCAGCCGTCGATCAGGTCCCTGACCGCCGGTAGACAGAAGAGCCGATATGTTTCCTATGGTACATTTGGCACTGGTATTTGCCTTTGGTCCAGCAATAGGCAAATAAATGTCTGTGTGTTCCCCTAAAAAGGTAAAAAAGGCGGCTCATTTTCCAGTTCCACGAGCCTCCAGCGGAGGGCAGGTGGGGTGGCGTGGGATGGCGATGAGCAGAGAAGAGAAGCGTTGTTGTATTTGTTTGTTTGTTTGTTATAAAACTATTTCTAGCGCGTGCTGCTGTCTCTCAGAACCACCAAGTCCACCGTCCGCTGGAAACTCTTCAGCAGAGAGACGGCGGTCTCGTGCTCCATGTGTAAAAAACTATGTCCGTTAGCCTGCAAGGCAAACACGCAGCACAGTCAACAGCATGTGTGTGTGCATGTATGTATAGAGGTATGTGTGCTGCAGTTTTTTCCATACACATGTCTATGTGTGAGTGTTTGTGGGAGGATGGAGGGTCACTGCCATCATTATCTCAGTAACACATCACTGTTGGGGAAAAGAGAGAGAAGAGGAGGAGCTACACAGTCATGCTGTAGAAAGAGAAGGGGTAAAGACAAAAAAGGGCTTTTAGATGAGTTCATCCAGCTAAACTGTACATCTGTGGAGAGAAGATGAAGGGGGGAGGAGAGAGGGGAGGAAAACATGAAAGGAACAAGACATGAAGGGAGGGTAAATCTATTACAGGAAAGCGCTGACATCTCATTTTGACCTCAAAGCACAATCCTTACTCTTTGCTTTAGGGTTTAAATGTAGGACAATTAAAAAAAAAAAAAAAAGTTCAGCAAATATCAAAAAACAAAAAAATGCACGTTCCACAGAGAAAGGGTGAGATTTTTACTTGTTCTGTTTAGGGTTTATTGATTCAGTTTGACTAATTAACATGGTAGCTCCATGGAGGGTGTTGCCTCAAGAAAATAATCCTGCAAGGTGTATCAGAACATCATTTAAAATCATGTTATTGTAGTAATGCACCAAAATGTATTTATGTTGTTCTCAGGAAAAAAAAAAAGTAACATACTGTGCTTAAGCCTTAATGCAAACTGCAGTATTCAGTTACTTTCAGTGTTGAGACCAACGTCACATTCAAAGTGACTGCGTATGTAGAGCAGAGATGTTGTGATGTATTGGACCGGAGAAGCAGCTTGAGAGCAGGAATTTAAAAAAAAAAAAAAAAAAAGAGAAATATCGGTAGAAAATGGAGTTAGGTGAGCTGGAAATATCTAAGAGGCAAGCAACACTTTTAGTATAAGGGAAAGGTTTATGGTTTATGGTGAGGACAAAGCACTTTGGTTTGTACCTGTCATTATAAACACACACAAAAGCAAAAAGAAAAAGTTAAATATATATATTTATATATAAAAGACAATGATGGCCATATACATACAACAGAAGTGAGTGCATATCTACACAATGTCACTTAAATGTCAATTGATTTAATATTTTATCACCTTTTAGTAGCTGTATTTCTTCTACGTTAAATAACAGGGTATTTGCACATTTGTAAAATGAAAAACTAACAGTTTGGATTTACATTATTACAAATACAGGCCCCACACAAGGAGCTCACTGCAACAAAAGCTAGTACATCTCTTATTACTGAGATTTAAATCTTTTATTTTCTAATAAGTCGTATATCCAGCTTTGTCTTGGATTTGTGATGACAAATTCAATCTTCCTCAGTATGGAAGATATCAGGGCAGAACAAATTTCAGGAGAAATGTTCTGCTGATCTTCTTTTTCTTCTTCAGAAACTATTTACAGTTTTTACTTTTTTTCTTCTTCTATAGAACCTGGTGTGTGATTTTGGCACTGGGTTTTGGATCAATATCACAGCAGAATATTCCTTTTCTGCCAAGCCTCTGCAAGCTGGGAGTTATGTTGTCAGCCAGTATTTGAGATATCCAAAGACACACATGGCCATCTAGAAATGTCATCTTCCTAATACATTTTGCACTCATTCAGGCTCATGTCATCACACTCCCACCTCTGTGCTTCACTGTCAGGACTTTACTGTGGTAGTTCTGTTCAGGTTCTCCCCAGACATGCTGGACACCATCTGAGTTAAACAGATTTATCATGACTATGGTCTCATCTGACTGAAGCCTGTGGTCCTAGTGCTTATCAGCTGAACCTTGTTCAAGCATGGCTTTAGTTGTCAGTCCGTGGAGGTTGACGGTATCATTGTCCTTCATGCTGTCTGAATGCTCACAAGTAGCTTCTGTTTTTGGCATCACTTTTGGAGGACGACCATTGTGACTCTGATTAGTGGTACTATAACTTGTTCTCTACCTCCACATGTATTGTTCCAACTGTCTTTCCAATGACTTTCAGTTGGTCTCCAATCTTCCTGCATCCTTTTCCATTTTTGTGAAGTCTCATGTTTTTTCAGTTGCTCCTGCTATTCTTTGCCATGTGATGCCATGATGCAGACAGACAGTCACAGCCCATAGATCAAAACTGAGAAAGATCTGGTGCTCACAGGTTAACTTAGAACTATACTCATGCAGCTAGGCTAATTAGAAATCACAGCTGTACTGAACTTTGTTTCAGTGAACACAGGTGTATTCCCTTTTAGTGCACTGTTGAGTTTCTATTTTAGTGCCAGTATTTTCAATATAATCTTTTGAAAGTACTTGTTTTTTTAATTGTTCATGAGACAAAATAGTCTACTCGTCAAGTTAAAAACAATGCAAATACTGAGAGGTGATAGAATTTTAAATCATTTGGTATTCAAGTGCTGTTGCACAGCACTCACTTCTGTTGTATACTGTACTTATCAGGCTGAGTAAAAAACACTGCATATGTGTGTTTTAGCGCAACTGATACAGAAGTTTTAAAGCTGATATTTGGGGGTTTAAAAGCAGTACAAATGACATATCATCTTAGGCTACTCAAATCTACCTGTGATCTTTATATCAAAGGTTCATGGTTGTCATTAGCTAATAATAAATGAGAGCACATGGGATGGGGGGGGGTCATGCCTGATTTCTGCAGGGTGCACAGACAGAGGCAGAACATACACCAGGAAAATATTGAAGTCTGATTTGCTCTTCTTTACTAAATATAAACATCCAGTGAGGTAACACCAGCAAATGCCTTCACATGTGATCACTGCTGCGGCTCATCTCCGACTGTGTGCTGCAGTTGGATAGCCTGAGTATATGAGGGCAGATAAACTGTGGAAGACTTGTTTTTTTTCCTGCTGAATGTTCTACCTCACTGTTTCAAAAACATAAGGGAAGAGTTGGGGAGGGGTGAGGGAGGGCAGGATGTGGCTGTTTCTGGCCCATTTGATGACGAGTGAGAGGGTGTTACCTGCAGTATCTTGTCTCCGGGCTGCAGGGCAGAGGCGGCGGGCCCGTCATGCTGTACCCTAGTAACAAAGATACCCTATAAGTCAAAATGATACACCGTTAGGACAACACAGGGACACGATGGTTTAGAATCTTTGCCTTTCTCATCTCAATATCCACCCACCCAAAAAAAATCACATTTCTGCCAGAAATATACGGCCAGTTCACCAATGCATTCTCCTTGCTCTAAATTTGGAAAGGCATGCAAATGATGCAAATGTATTGTTTATACTGAGGCTGCTCATGATTCATAATGCTGGAACTTTAGTACTTTAAGGTACTTGAGTTGTTACAAACGCTGAGTGATACATTCCTCCCAAACATGTAAAAATGGTTTATCAGCTTTCTATACGGATATGGACTTGGCATAGAATAGACATGAGGTTAGAAAGAGAGAAAATAGATATACAGTCAATATTTAAAGAATATGAGAAGAAAAATAGGTGTGGGATGGGTTCTGACTAGGGGAAAGAAGTAGGTAGCAGGGAGGGCAGAAGAAATTTCATTCCCCTATATTTTCCTTCAATAACCCAAGGCAGAGATTGTAAAAACACCAACATCTTTTCACCGGGAGCTGAAAGATGTTTTTTGAACACAGAAAGTGTAGGACAATGCAGCTGCATCGACTCAACATGGTTCAACAGGTTGTGCATGTGTTGAACACACAAGAGTGAGCTTAACAGATAAATGTGCCATAGAAAAGTGACACGAGTTAACCAAGAACAGTATGATGTAGTAGTAACAGTGCAGCAGCACCTACATACTACAGTCTGTGAGTGAATGCAAGAACAAACACATATATTGCATGTTAAACTGTACATAATAGAAGTATTAGTGAAGTTAATATACACGGCGACATTGACATTTATACAGTGAGCCTCATACATGTAGACAGTCTAACAATTTGATAATTGGCAAAAAAAAACTGATTTAAATTTGTAAAAGTGGTGCATATATATAATCTGGATCGCTAATTTTTCCACTCTACTCCATTCACATCCTCCCAAGCACCGAGGAAGTGGACTTGTTCTGTCAGATCTTATATGGAGCTCACTATACACTACAAATGAGTTTGCTAGCAGCTGAAATTGCATTAGTGACAACAATAAAACATTTCTACAATATAAAGCAGTTGCACACAAAGCTGCATCAACGTGCAAAAACCTTCCATCTTCAAAATTTACTTTCTCATAAATCTGGGAATATATATCTAACTTTGAATTATTCGGACCACATGCCTGAAAACTGTTTTCTACACGAGTGAGAACAATGTTATCAATGAGTTGCACGAAAGGACAATATTGAGGATGGGGTTTTTTGCAGTCCAGTGATAACATGTACACAGGTTTCTCCAAAAGATGACAGTATGTTGGCTATCAGTGGCAGCTTAGTGTGCAACAATAGTATATCTCACAACAGCAAGAACAGAAAATTGGATTTTCAAATGATCGCGAGCCAGATCTGATGAAAAATCCATGTTCGGATCTTTAAAACCTCCATCTTCTCCTCTTAAACCAAGCCTGAGAAGATAATACATCAAAGGCCGACATCCCAATCCAGTCAATACAGGAACTGAGTCACCATTTCTACTCGCTGAGTCCTAATTAGCCAGAAGTGAAAGTGACCCAGTGGCTTAGAGGGCCTCTCTTAAGTCAAACTTAGAGGATCATTGTCATTTCTTTATAGACCACTGATGATGACTTCTGGGAGGTTTTTACAAAGGAAATCATGGGGCAATCTACAATTAAAAACAACTTGTCAGACACTATGTGATAAGAAAGCTCTGTTCTGAGTAATGTCCTCTGTAACCTTAATCAGTTTAATTTTGCCAGTGTATTCTGTTTCTGCACAAACACACAAGCAAATAGATTTATATCAACAAAGAATGATAATCAGGCCAAAACTTTTTGTTATTTAAAGTAAAAGACAGGAACACAGTCCATCTTATCAAATGTGGTATTTTGTATTTTTAAAGTCAATTTGTTGATATCACTCTTCAAATTGTATAGCACTAACCTTCATAAAGCACATAACTTCCTAACATGTTAAATATCGGATTAGTCCGGACATTTGGGTACTCTCTCTGTGAAGATCAAAAGAACTGTGAGCCTAAATAAGTAGCTGACCACTAGAGGGAGCCACAGCCTCATGGAACAGCCGTTGCTGTCATAGGCTCCTGGGATTAAAACCATAGATGTATAATTTAGTAGTCAAGCTGTTTTCAAACACAGTCCTATTTAACTATTTAAGCTCTCGCTCAGTTTAACCTTAGTCTTAGACACAGTAGTGTCTTCTCTGGGCAAAATCGTCACAAACAAATCTGTTGAAAGAGTCGGACAAACCCACACGTGTTCTTTTAAGTAGGTCGAAAAAGATGATAAAACCATATTCAAAGGCATTTTTATTGGTTTGAGCAAAAACTGCTGTCAAATGAGCCCTGAGTAGACAACTACTGATAAAACATGGAAGAAACTGCTTTAGTGAGATGCCTCACACTGTCTAGAAATAGCAGAGTAAGAAGAAGGAGTCAGAAGAGAGAAAACTGGACCGTAGAAGGATAATAGCTGCTGTTGTATCCTCCAAATATCCTCCATCAGACTCTATGTAACCCTGCAGGACGCTGTGAGTGAGTTCAGTATAGCAGACATACAGTCCACGTCACATCACACAGAGCACATCTAAAACCACATTTCACTTTAAAACATTTATGTTTTAACTATACATAGCCTCAGTGAAAAATCTGTATTTGCGGACATTAGGTGACATCTGACAACCACCGTTTTCATTCACTGAGATGTCACAGTATGTATAGTAAAAGTAAACATTTTGCACTAAAGTGAAATATTGCAAAGTGTTCCACAATAACTCTTACACCACACTAACAGGGATGGGTGTATATATAAGTATTACATCCATATCAGCTATCCATTATGTCATATACATTATATGTATGATATAATTACTTGACAAAATATTTAGTAGAATCCTTTGAGAAACTGTTCATCTGCATTGACTGCATTTTGCTGCCTCTGTAACATAACATTAATAATGGACAAACTGCAGCTGGTGGAAACTTTATGGATACAAGTAGAGAAGGGAATGATAAAATAACTGTACGAGTCAGCAACTGTAGCACCAGTTGTCTGCTTAACACTCAAAGTTAAATGATGAATTGACAGTTTCTGTATAATCAGTCTCACACCCTGACTTAAAAAAAAAAAAAAAAAAAAAAACTTCACCATTCGTCACATGGGCTGTACGGAGGCTGAATGTTTAAAGAACTCTTCTTTGCAGGCTTTCTATTTATAGACCAGCTGTCTCGTCAGTTACTCGGAATAACAGTCAGTAAAATCTGTCATACTTCCCATCCCTAGATCAAAGTGTTGAACATCTAAAATCACCCACGGTGTCCCAGAACTAAGCAGCACTTCCTAAAATAGCTGTCAGAGCTCCGTGAGCAGCCTCGCTCCTTTACACCGACTACAGCAGCGTGTTTCTAGGACAGACTGCCATGTGCAGCAGGCCTGAGGGATCTGCAACCCCAACAGGCTCTCAGCACAGGCACACGCTGACAGAATCAGTCAAACTCAGAAGTAGAAATGATGAAGGAGTTTGGAATATCTCATAATGTGTATATATGTGGGAACAGGTATTTAAGTTTGCTGATGTCATTTAATTTTCTAACAGTGACGAGTCGACGATATAGACAAATCAAATTCACTGCAACATGGCCTGACAGTGTGTGCATGTATAAATCAGCTATCAACATCCCAAAATGATAGTATGTCAGACTTAAGTAACTAGTGAGGCTAATAGCTTTTTAGTATAATACTTTCGCAATATGTAATACATGTAGGTCATGTGTAGATCAGATGTATCCCATCACACCTCAGGTTTCTTTACCAATTTAAATAGAAAACCCTCAGTCAAACTGCTGTTTTCCAACAGTTTTTAGTCCAACATCACAGACTCAAATGGACTCAAAGTTAACCAAGTCAACTGCTGCCTCACAGACAGATACACGGACAGATAGACGAAACACTGCGGTAACGAGCAGCAGTTTCCATGGCAACTCTGAGGTAAAGCCGGGGAGGCTGTGATTGGCTGGCAGGCCGGGTCAGGTCGTACCATGTCGGAGGGTTTGAAGGGGTTCCCCTGGCCGCTGATGCCACCAGAGATACTGAAACCAAGACCAGGGTTCTTCTCTATTCTCACACACAACTAGAGAGAGAAGGAGGAGAGGACAAGAAAGAAAAAAAGAAGGAAAGACAACTGAAAGTGAAATACAAGGACTGTGAAAGTTGCTACACATGCATAGAGTAAACAGACAACATGTGGAAGAGTGCTCTGTGTGACGTCTAACACGGTTTGGCAGCTATATTGGAGGTCCTCTGTGGCCGCAACAAATGAGCCACAAAAATAATTGTGAGAGTTTTCCTGTTTGGCATAATGAAAGGCATCTCATACTAGGAAGGAGAAAAACAAAAACCATCAGGAATATCAGCTGGTGCGAATGACTTCATGTTGCTACCTAAACTGGTACAGTGATCTCCATCTGTGAAATAATTCAGATTTAGAATGACACCGCCTTCATCAGTTTCAGCACAAACTGTTGCTTTTAGGTGGCTAAAATTACATTCGGATGTCCTAGTTGTCTTTAGATTTTGTCTCCTCTGCAGTTGACTGCCTAATGTGTTGACCTTATCTGGGACCTTCATAATCCACGTACTAACCTATGCATCTAATCTGACACCATCTTGTCTTCCTCTTAATAAATGTGGTCTTAATTTGTAAACATTAACCACTTCTGTCTTTGCCACTTTAGTTTGCTGCTTAATTATCCAAAAACAGATAGAAGAGGTCGACCTTGACTTCAAGCAACACCTGACCAGATTTTGTGCTTGAGTCGGATCTACAGAATCTAAAATCAGTTTACTCTGTTAGTTACCTGCGTTTAGGAACATATTTAGCTCTCTAGTGCTCACCTTTCACTTGTGTTGCTATTAAATGGCCCTACATCCCAAATAAAAATAAACTAATTTCCAAAATAGTTACTACATATTTAGTCATATGAGCATAGCCCAAATGTTAAAACAGAACTCCAATATAGCATGCAAGGTGGCTTGCTGCAGGCAGATGGACAGACTGACAGTGAAACAGACAAATACCTGCTCCTGGAAACCATCCGTGCTCTTCTGGCCTTTAGTCTGCAACAGGCAGCGAGCGCTCTGAGGCCGTGGGTTGGTGTGGGTGGTCATGACAACCTGGTTGCTATGAACCATGCCCTGGTTGCCATGGTACTGGGGGTTGGTAGCAGGAAGGGAAGGCTGATGGGAGGAGTGGGAGCCATGGGGGTTGTATTGGGCCTGGTTCCCGGACTGGGACAAGGCCATGGGCAGACCGGCGCTGGGGTAAGCCTGGCCAGGAGCAGGATGGGCTGGATGGAAAAAACAAAGATGCTGGTAGCATCTAGCTAATAAAATGAAACTTTCTAGAACTGATTATTGTGCTGTTGATTTGAGACAAACAAGACACACTTACCACAACTTACTCAAGTACTATTACTCTGTAATTACAGGGCTGAATTGTAAAACTACGGAAAATTTAACTTGAGTTTTTTTCCTAATGTATTTTTGGATTGAGGAAGGGTCACAAGGCCACACAAATAGGATAAGAAATGATAATAGTGGTTTGTGAGTGTTTTGTTACTCTGAATTAAATCTATCTTGTCATGGAGTTGTTTGAGTGCAAAAACACAAGATAGTAATTTCCAATTTTATACAACTACTGGATGTGATGACTTATATGTGCATAGTCCCAAAGATGATCTCATTTCTACTTGATAACACAAAGGGGTATTATACTATTTGTGAACATTTCAATTTGAAACTGCAAAATAAATAAGTGTGTACATGCTAGACCAAGTTGACAAATGTGGCTGTCTGGCTTGTCGAGCACTATTGCCCTTGAAAAGCTAACTTTAGTGTACAAAGGCAAATATTCCACTTTCAATGCAATCTGGAGAAAATGCTTGCCTTTTTATAGAAGGGGAAGAAACCATGAGGGCTCTTGTGCCTTACGTGTATGGAGATGTTTATTTATTTAGTTAGTGTCATATTTTATATTTGCCATTGTTGATTTTCTGTGTCTTTGGTGAAAGACCATCACATGCCCTGAACTTTAAACTCCTCAGTGGAAAGCCCTATCTTAGACCTGGAAGGATGGACACTGTCCATCACTCTACTGACTTGCACCTTTTCTTGTTATTGTTTTTGTGTCACTGGTATTGTTCAATGTTTTCATGTGAAAATTCAATAAATATATTCATTAAAAAAAAAAGTGTGTACATGCTGATATTTATTACCATTTACCTTGAGACATGTTGCCTTGGTACTGTCCAGCAGGAACTACTGACAGGGGCATCCCTGGCTGGTACTGGCCTCCCTTATTCATCATCCCGTCGTAGCCCTGCTGCCCGACCACACGATGAGGAGTGGTGGCCATGGAGGAGGAAGAGGAGGTGACGATCATGGTGTTGTGTGACTGGTGGGAGGGGTTGTGGGAATGGATGCCCTGTGGAAAGAGAATGGGTCTATTTAGTTTAGAAATGTACTTCTTACAGGTCTTAAGAGCTCTACTTATGGAAGAAAATGTGCAAAAAGAGCCTCGAAAAAAATCCATAAAGTGAAGCCAAATGCAGCAATTTATGTTACACTCTGTGGGTAGAAAGTGTAAAATAGGCTGGAAACAAAGATGAGATGGTTCACTGATTAGTCAGCAGCTCTCACCTTTTTCATGAGGTTGTCAGGTGGGACGTCTCTCCTGCCAAGCGAGTAGGGAGCCCACTGGTTGCTCCCTGACAGCCCCTCCTGGTCATTATCCAGCATGGCAGCCTGCTGAGAGGGGGTCTGAGAGAGAGACACAGTGGCCATTACTTAAATGAACGTTTAACTCTGCTTATTTTATTCATGAATCAGACTCTGCCTGCCTGAGAGGACGGCTGAATTAGATTCTGTTGTTTTAAAGGTGCTACATGGAAGCATTTAGTTTCAAAACTTCAGTCGCTGCTAACCAGCTAACTGCACCCTGTCCTGGGAGGTCCGTTTTTCTGCTCCTGCAGGTCGGCTTAACACGTGAAAGGCCAACAATAGCTGATTAGCGGTGACTCAACTTTCAAAATAAAATGATTACAAATAGCACCTTAAAGGTGGAGTACACAATTCCACTGTAATGCTTTGTCAGATTTAATGAATCTCTTCTCACGGTTCACTAGCTGTCTGAAAATCCAGTGTTTGTAACAGCCTGGCTCTGTAAATGGGAAACACACATCGGACTGATTCACACAATAATATTCCAGCGTGTCCTGTACACATATGCCCTCGTCAACAATGTTTGTCCAGAATTGCAGACCCCATCTTTATGTGTGAACAGAGCTGTGATGATGTAGTACATACATTTTCCCTTCTAGGTGAAGTGGCGTGTTTGTAACATCAGTCAGCATGGTCCAAAGGCTGATGCAGCTGATAAACACAGTATTTTAATAGAAAGCTATGTTTAATTTCCTCCTCCTCAACACCAAGAGCCTCTCTCTTAAAGCGCCTGAAAAACTGGCTTAGAAATGTAAGTATTTGTCTACAGCTGTCATAATTCATGGTCAAGTAAACAACAATCAATTCGTGTTAGCTGATCTGTTTGAGTGCCGTTTGATCAGATTTGATTCCATAACCAAATAACCCACCAGCTTCATATTATGATTAAAATGCAGCTGAATCCTGATTGCTGCATGGAGATTTGTAGTATCTGCAGACTGCACATAATTGACAGTAACAGCACCTTTTTCTCTAACTGAGAACCCCCACCACATCAAACCACTGAGAAGTACACACAGGGAAAAAAAAATACTGAAATCTCAAATAAGCAATTACCAAAACCTCAGCAGAAAAAGTTTTCAGGGCCTTTAAAAGTGGCCTTCAAAAACTGTGGCTATATAAAACTATAAAGGCTTTTTATGGTTGATAACAAATAAGCTGCTCTCGTGGCCCTAATTGGTGAAATGTGGCATAGACAAACAATGCCCAACAACTCCATGTGTCACACTAAGCTTGATTTAAGGATGTCAGGTGTCTGTTTAACGAGCTGTTTCGATCTGTTGTTCTGGTAACCTTGAAATATGGGGAGTGCCTTATTTGAAGTTTTCACTCAACTGCAACAAGCAGACAAGAATGAACCGCAAGTAAGGCGCTTCATAGCCATATGACTGATTCTCACTGTTGGAGAAGGTAAAGTAGGTAGCTGTGTTAGCCTAAACTATATAAAGCACACACTTAAATATTAGTTTGTGGTGGCTAGGTAAAGAGGCAGTGGCTGCAATTCTCTATAATTACCCATGTATGCAGTAATAAGAGCAGTACCAGGGGTTCACCGTTCTCAGAGGGATACTCACAGCGTTAGCAGACGGAGGAGGAGGTAGTGGCAGCCAGCGGCCAGAAGGGGGCTCATGCTTAGTGTTATTGTAAAGGTTAAAGTTCAAAGTGCTGCTGCGCCCCTGGCCGTGACCCCCGCCCTGACAGAGCATGCCCAGCGTGAGCGTGTTGTGCTTTAGGACACCACTCTGATTGGAGAAGACAACATCACACGACATGGGTGAATGTGGGGGGGAGGGGGAAGGGGAGGGGAGTGGAGGGGGGGGGCGGAGCCAACACAGCGGGCTGTAGCGTGGCGACAACACACTGTGAGCTCCACACACATATAAACAAACAGCAATAACACTTATAAAAACAACAACAACAACAGTGCAGAGTTGCTGAAAGCACAGAGAAATGTTAGCTAGTGGCCGCTCAGTACGTACAGAACATTGTGTCATACAGGCAACAACAGGTGGATCAGTTCATTCCAGTATTAGTGTGTGAGTTTTCAGATTAGTTATCTTTATCTTTATCATGCGTGGATATTTAAACCCCCTGACGAAACTGATAGATACAATGTTTTAATATGGAATGTTAAACTTCTAGCCATGGAGTGACGAGGTGGATGTACTTGGCATAATGTGACAGACTGTAGCAGGAAGACCTTATGACGCATTAGCAGGTTTTTAGGATTCTGCATGTTATTTTTTGGAACTGTGTGCTCCAGACTTCCTCCCTACCACGTCTGATTGTCCTGTCTGTAGAGGCACCAGCTTTAACTAATTAGTTTGACATTTTGGAAAATACGCTCATTCACTTTCTCGCTGAGAGTTAGATGAGAGGACTGATAGCGCTCTTATGTCAGTATGGTAAATATGAATCTGGAGCCAGAAGACATAAATCCCAGATACAAGAGGTATTAGCTAGCTTGCCTCTGTCCAAACGTAAAATAATCCGCTTAACAGCACCTCAAAAGCTCTCTAATTAACGCATTATATCTTGTTTGTTTAATCTCTATAAAAAATAACTTAAAAAGATCCCCCAACTAAGAAAAAGTTCAATCACATTATCAAACAGAAAACCACAAATTGTTTATTTTAGACTTCGCCTTTTTTGTATGGATAAAACAAGCAAAATATCACATGTCCAATTATAAGCTTTTAAGTGGATTAATTTACTTTTAGACAGAGCCAGGTGAGCAGTTTTTCCGGCTTTAAGTCAAAAGCACTATTTGAACCAGACAAGTATTACTTGGGGACTTTGTGATTTAAAAATAACGCGCAAGTCTGTGTTTCAGACGACACATTCGCACAGGATAAGCAATGTTTGTATTTAACTCAAATTTACTGACATTATAAGCGCATATGAAATAAAAAGAAGGAAGGTTATGAGAAAACTAAAAACCTTGGAAAAAAGATGACACCAAATCACTACAATGCCGATTTTCACAGGACGAATGTTATCTCAGGGCCTGTGTGTTTTGCCATATACGGTGTGCTCTTTATGGTGGAATTGTTGCTTTACAAATTATGGACATGACTGATTTGAACAAAATTTACTTTACAGGCGATCTCCGCAACTATTAGAAATTGCTAGAGGTCCGTAAGTAATACCAGTTCTGCAATCTGGCTTAACGTGAGCGAATGTCCTATGAATTCATATTTAAAATACAGACATGAAAGCAGTATTATTCTTGTTTTGGAAAGAAAAGCACATGAGAATATTTCTCAAAATGTTCTTCTATTAAAAATGTCACTGCTTCTTCAATTAGTGTCAAGATATACTCTACAAGTCCTACAAAGTATCCCCATTCGTTTCCAGTGATTATGTTGAGTCTGTGGATCTTGTGTTTTTTGTTTTTTTTTTTAAACAGGTGAAAATATCAAACATCAGAAAGTCCTTTTATTTCAAAAACTGACTTCAAGCACTGTAACTTAGGTGAACAGCAGACTTTTTTTTTGCTGTTTTCAAGACAGTTTTCCAACAAGCTACATTAAAATCAATCAACTGGACTTATCTCAGTGACTTTTCACTCGTTTAAAAAAAAAAAAAAAAAAACATTTTAAGACACGACACAAGATCAGATTATTTATGGCAATGTACATTTTTGCTGCATTGCATTTCAGGAAATGTGATTTTCACAGCACATATCTGGTAGTGAGTGTGCAGTTGGTCAGGCTGACAGAGTGACAGTGTGGAGTGGACACACATGCAGCCGGACACAAAAATCTGGTCACCCTTACAACACAGACTTACACAGATACAGACAGGGAGGGCCTCTGAATGCTGTGTGTGTGTGTGTTTGTGTGTGTGTGTGTGTGTGTGTGTGTGTGTACATTCCTCTCTTTAGTGTGTCTGTATGTCATTGACGTACCCTGTCTAATCGTTTGGCCTCTATGTGCCTGAGTAGCTGTTGCCTCCAGTCGGCAGGCATCTTGGAGGTGATGTCTTCAGGTTTCTGCGGTACGACAGGTCTTACTTTGATGGTGTCATCAGGTGGTTTCTCGGGGCAGGTTGCCAGGGTGTAGTCAGGTGGCATCTTCTCCAGCAGGGCGGCCATGGTGGGACGGGCTGACACCGGACGGGCCTGAGGGCAGAGAGTCCGCATTTTATACAAACAATACCAGACAAACAATATTAGCAAATAGGTGGTGGACATAATAGAACATCTAGCATTTAAAAAACAAAATGATTCCTGGGGATTTGGTAGAGACCAAAACAGAGATAGAAGGACAGTTAAACATTTATACAATGATTAATAATATGTCTGGTCCTTATAACTTGTTGCACTGCCCCAAAGAGGACAAAAGATGATGTATAGCATTCTATATTCCTGTAAAATGAATCCATGCATTCATTTTCATTAATCTGATGGCACTGGAATCTGACAAGGCCAAACCTTTTAACATATAACTTTCAACAAGTTGGAACTGCATGTAGTCGCGTTATCGGATAAGCATGCTTCAGCAACATATTTTGAGTTGTGGGAAGCAATTAGTGGATTCCACATTATTATTATTTTTATTCCACATTTATTCCACATTTCAGCACCAAAATCGGTCCAAAACCATCCCAGACAATACAAAACACACAGTTTGCATGACAATTTGTCCCACAAGTTCACATTTATAACAAACTGAAATGTCATAACAATAAAACTGTACTGCTATGAGAGAGTCTGAAGGTCAGATTATTAAGATTACAGATTACAGTGAATGGAACCTTGGTTTTGACAAAACGTTAACAGGGTCTGAAGTTTAGTTTGTTGCTTCCAACAGTCCGTCGGAGTCTTTCTTCTGACTTTCTCAAATATTTGCAGTCTCAAACAGCTGCATGAGCATCTCCAAAGAGAGAGTGTGCATTCATGTACATGTAACAACTTCACGAATCACTTAGAATTAAAAAGAAATTAAGACAGGATTGTTTAGGATCTAGCAGCAAATTACACATTTTATCCACACCAGAGAGCAGAGCTGTCACACAGTCACAGTGTATTAGGTATAGATAAATGATCTGTTATGTCGGGGTTACCCTCAGGTTGTGTCCTGGGCTCTATCATTTGCTCAAATAATGAACAAGACTACAAGTCTGAAGCTGACAGGCAAGAACTCTGCCAACATGCCAGTGTTTAGCAGTTCTAATTACTATTTTCACCAGCACTAAAGACAAAGTACAGCTAGGGAGGATTGAAACATCAGTAGTTCTGCAGGTATTTAGTCATAAAGTATTACACAATTCAATTTTTGACCTGATGAGTAAATAGATCAACTTTGCACAACATTTAATAGCAATCCACCCAGTAGTTGTCCATATGTTTCAGTTGGGACTAATGTAACTCGCTGACTAATGGACCAGACAATTGATACCACTATGCATTGTGCCAAGCTGCTGGTGTGACTAATAGTAACCAGGATTATATGGAACATGAGAATAGCAGGCAGATAAACACAAAGACTGCAGTAATACACACACATTATACCAGACTTGCATGGAGGAGATGGACCCGAGAATAACGATGAAATGCATTGCACAACAGGTGATGTGTACACTGTGAGATTTACTTTAGACAATGAACTTGGGCTAAAGACATTAGGAATAGGACTGCAGCCATAAATGTTCTACATAAGTTTCCTCGCGCTTAGTTTCTTTCCCATGCCCTGCTTCTTCATGCTGAAAGGTGCCAGATGAAGTGCTTTGCGCCCCTCATCAGTATGCTACTGGACACCTCTCTGTGACTATTTTGGGAAAGTCTGACTTGAGGCAAACCCAGAACATCCTGAAGGGATTATTTATGGACATGGGATTGCCTTGGGATCTGGTGTATGGCTGAGGCAGAGGACACCTGCACTACTCTGCTTAGTCTGCTGCTATAATAACCTGGACCCAAGTAATTGGTGGAAAATGGAAGGATAAAAATGCTGTAATCCCAAATCTGCTACCTCTGTGATAAAGTAGGCCATTTGTCTGTGTGTTCCAAGTATTTTTCATTTTTAGGTAACTACTTGAGAAGGCAAAAGATTGTGGTCATGCATAAAAGAAACTAAAGTTTACTGGTGTTAGAAGACGGCATGTGAACCCTGGGTTCCAGTCTCAAAGTCATGCTGGACATTTTGACATTTTTTAAGCTCTTTGAACAAACAATTAACGCTGCCAGTTTTGAAACACGCCTGTAGTCCGGAAATACACAATTCTTTCTTCCCTTTTTATCTCTTCTGATGCTATTATTGTTTTGATGTCATTTTGTTTTGAAGATGTAAAACAGCATTGACAGATTCGTCTCTTTTAGAAGATATCAAACCATTTGAAACCACATAATGAGATAATAATAACAGTACTTTAAAGGTACCTGATGGGTCAGTTACAACTGCTGTGTTTCCCAGATATTGCCACTATTGTTGGATGAGGCTGTAAATTTGTCAGTTAATCAACACTTTGTGTAAATAAAAGTTTGAAATCCGAATTGAAATCATTAGTTGATTAATTGCCAGACAGAAAATGAATCTTTAGCTGTATTAATAATAGCTGCTTCCAAAACCTTTACACAGTGAGGTTTTGCTGGTTTTTCTCTGTTTTATTGTAAACTGAATCTCTTTGGCTTTTGAACAAACAGGACATTTGAAGATGTCACACTGGGCTCCGGAAAAATATGATGAACATCGGTGTCATGTTTTGACATCTACAAACAACACATGTAATTCACAGATGTAAAATATAACTGCCACAATACTCCATAATGACAATAACTGTTATTTGCAGCTCTAATTGTTTTAACATGACTAACACATTGAATTGCTTGGGGTTCCAAGATTAAACTAGATAAGGCGTGAAAAGGTAGAAATATAAACTCAGAGATACACAGTTTTAACAGCAGCTTAGGTAACAGATAGCGTACCTGTGATGCTCCGTAGGTCTCAGTGCTGTAGCTCCTGGCAGACAAGGGACGGCGCTGAGTCAGGCTCTTGGTGGGATAACCAATCATGGGCTTCTTCTGCTCCTGGTAAGTAGGGTAGTCATCATCATAGCGACCGTTTCTCTTGTTGTGCAGCATCTGACTCTGGCTGTCGGCCATGTTAGTAAGAGCAGAGTGCTCCATGGGGGTGGAGTAGGCAAGAGCCCGGCCATAAAGAGGGGGGTCCGCCTGAGGACAGGAGATGGAAGGAGAGAACACGTTCATCAGACCACAGAATAAAAAAAGAAGTCCATCCTAAGAACAAATTTACATTATCACTCTAAATTCAGTGGATGCAATGACATAACAGAGGGTGAAAAGCAAAAAATGGTGCAGATGACCGTAAATATCGCAGGAAAGAAATAAAGGTTCTGCTTCACAGTAGCTTTGACCAGTCAAATAATCCGAAACAGTCAATATCATATCCACAGTTATGAAAGGAGTTGTTCTAATAGTACCACTGGCTTTAAGCCATGGAGCAAATTTAGTTTTTTTAAAATATGCAGATAAAAAGCACATTTCAGTGTAGTGTGTGAAAGGTAAAAAATGTAGTACAGCTTAATCAAAAAACACATCCTCTACAATAAAAATTATTTTAAGTCTGAATACGTGCTGCCTCACTGGCTTATTTTTACTAAGTGTCAGGTAATAGCGGCCACGTTTTGCACCTTCTAAAAACAGAAACATCATACTGGTGTTTGTGATATCACATGTTAGAATGCTCAAAGACATCGCCTTACAAGTATAACAGGTCTCTAGACTAAAAATGTATTCTTAGAGATTGTGACACACACATAAAGTACACAACAGAAGTGTAACATCACTCATATCTCATAATTCAATATAATAATAATTAAAAATCGCACCACCTCTCAATAACTGCTTTATTTCAAAGTTGTTGAAGCAAATATGAATAAACATAGACCCAAAAGTAGAAATTCACTGCAACAAAAGTAAATTCACCGTGACCACTGAAATTAAATTGAGTACCTCTGTGATTTCCATTTAGCCTTATTACATTATGATAATAATGGATAAGCGGGAGAAGATGGGTGGACATTATGATAACATGGCAGTTTGGATCTATATGTCTATTTCTGCATCATCTGCATCATGGCTCCACATAGAAAACAATTCCCAGATGAACGAGACATAACATCAGCCTCTATGGACAGCATCCTAAAAAAAAAATCTGTGCTTGCTCTTTGACACAAAACTTAAACCTTGCCAAGGAACATGAAAAGAAGCTTGATGAATACGGGGAGCACATTCTTCGGTCAGATGAGAGCAAGATAAATTTGTTTGGCCCAAATGGGGTTCAGCATTGTCAGTATAACCCTGGTCAGGACCGCCACAGTGAATGCATGGTCCTTACAGTGAAGTAGTCAGTAAGAGTGTAAGGATATGGGGCTGCATGAGAGTATAAAAGTGTATATACAAAGTATAACACAAGTTCGTACACTGTGTACACTGTATATACAAATAAGTATAACTGTGGTACAAGCCCTTACCTGCTGTCTGTACTGAGCTTCCTGCAGCGCCTCCTGCTGGGCTTCATGAACTCGACGGAACAAAGCGAGCTCTGTAGAGCTCACCAATGAATCTGCTCTCCGCAGAAACCCTGGCCTGGAACGTTGTGTTGGGATTGGCTGCTGCTGGGTAGGCGGACCATCCTGGTTGATTGGTGATTGGGGGAAAGAGAACATCTCCAGCGGTGGATATGCCCGATACCGAGGGCTCACGAGCTCCTTGGGTAATGTCTTCCCTGGTTGGTTTATGTACTCCAAAGCCTTCGATGAGTGGTTGACGTAATCTGGTGTGTTTGGGAAGGGGGGAGGGACCCGTCGATCAATGGTCACCTACGTGATTAGAAAGGTTACAGAAAAGTTTTCAGGTATTAGTTATCATACAAAACTGCTGTGACTTAATCTTAATTCATTTAATAAATTGCATGAAAACACAAAAATTCATACATGACTTTAGGTTAATGCAACCATTGCTCTGTCAAAAACTCCAACTTACCTGGGGGTTGTAGTTCTGGTCAAAGTGATAGGCCTTCTGTGGGATGGCAGGTTTTTGGTTCTGTCCTGGCTGGTTCTGGTGCCCTGGGAAGCCCAGCTCGTCATCTAACATGGGTGCAGACTGTGACCGTGACATGTTGGTCTGCTCCATGGAACCGGGCAGCTCTGGGCGATCCAAACTAGTCTGCTGCTCGATGGATGAACTATAGCTGTCCATGGGGATACTGTAGGATGATATGAAAGCATCAAAATTCTGCTTCAACACTACGATGAGCTAACAACTGTGCGAGAAGCCCCACTTGAGGATCAATGTTATTTAAAAAGAACCCAACCTACCTGTAGACTTTGTAGGAGCCGATGTCAATCTCATCTATGCTCTGTGACTTTTTAAACTTGGATCTCGTCTCCCTCATCATGGGAGACAGGCGGTCTGAGCTTTTACTCATCACCACGGTCACCTTGTTGCCCCCGGTGACAGTGAGCTGATCCTTCCTGTTCGGTTCCCCCTGATTGTCATGATATGTCCAGCTGCCAGGCAAAGGCCCTGTACCTTGTTCAAGCCTTGAAGCAAAAAAGTGAGCATTTAGGATTCAATATCCGTGATTAGGATTTTACTAATATGAGCTCCTAAAAACGAGCAGGGCTGGAGCAGTGTTATAATAATAGAAGCAGAAAACAAGGACAGGTGAAACAGTGTAATTATAGCCTAATCACCGGACTGAGCCATTTAATTTCTGCTCCATTATTCATTCTATTTGAACAGCTGACAAAATGTGTCTGGCAATTCAGGGGTCTGGAATCAGGTTAGTGTTGGTAATAATGAGAACAGAAATGAAGAAGGCACGCAGCAGCTTCAAAACAATTTTGGACTTAAATTGCAGTCACACCAGTTATTACAGATCAATCTGGTCATTATTTTTAGATTAATCTAATAATTATCTCGACCACAGAAGGAAAACAAAAGACAAAGATAATTTTTTTTTAACATTTCAGAGCACAAAGTGTCACATTTAAACAACTTGTTTTGTCCTAAAATGATTCATCCAGCAATAAATCTGAGAAACAAAGTCATATTTTGAGAAGCTGCATCCAATGAATCTTTGGCATTTTTTCTTTAACAATAAGCACAATTTTTTATTTACCTGTTAATTGGTCAAATCATCTTTTCAGAAATATCTGAGAAGGAAATAAGTCAAAGCTGGAAAAGTTTTAAAACATAGTATGAAGTTATAACACACCTCTGGATCTAGTTTGCTACAACAAAAATCCAGGTTTAAGATGGATAAACTTATTAAATACAGCACCTTTAGAAAGACAGGTACAAATGCTGCCATAGAGATTTCTTAAAATGAAAACCTGCACACTGTTGGGGTTGTGGAGGGCTCCACATCAGCTAAACGCAGATGAGCTTCAGCTAGTTACCTTGAGTCTATGTCCTTGCGGTCGGGGTTGGGGCTGGAGCTGGGTGTCAGGTCCAGCTTGGAAGGAAAAGCAGTTCTGTCTTCCAGTGGGCTGGGGGTCCTGGTCCAATTCTGCCAGGGGTTCTGGGAAGCTCCGGAGGATTGTGGATCATTGTCCGGGGTGGATCGTTGGTTGCCATGGAAAGGGAGCGTCTGGGTGTCCAGCTCCAGAGGGACTCCTACAATTCGCTCTTGCCTGAGGAGGGGGCGGCGGCCGTGTGTTGACTGGCTGCGGGGTTTAGAGCCCAGCGGCGGGTTTCCCTGACTCGCACTAGATGATGGAGGGTCCAGAGGAGACTCCTCTGCATCAAAACCTGTGTTGTCATAATGAGGGGCCTCAGCCCAGTCAAAAGGCTCGCTAAGTGGACGCCGGTCCCCGCGCTGCTGCAGGGTTCCTGATGGAGGGGTTTCTCTCTGAGACAGCAGGGGCTTGGAGTCGATGGGCTTTGGGAATGACTGGGCAATTCTACAAAGACAGACAATATTAATCACTAATTATCTCATGGAAAATAATAAAAATAACAGCATTATACTGAAGTGTCCTGCTACACTTTTGTGTTGTACATTTATTCCAAGTCAGTGAGCACTGGAAACAGCAAAACTTTCTCTTCCTCTCTCTGAAACATCAGTTGGGCCAACAAATCACATTTGACGTAAGTAATATTTAAAGAGCATGAACGGAAACTAACTCCTTCATCGCCAGTTGCAGTTTGCAAATCCCACGTTTCACAAGTACAGAGACAAAAGAACAAGTATACAGATTGGGATCTGTGCCTCACCCCAGGGCATGTGAAATGACAGCTTTAATGTCAAAAAATACCAAAGCGAGCTTTCACCCTGCAGGGGCTCCATAGAACAAGAGGAGGCATGGGAAGACCGGGGACGGGGAAATTAGCTTTACCATTATTGGAGACTATGTTCCCACTGACAGAACAAATAGAAAAAAGCTTTTGTCTGGAGGTAAAACAGAAAAAAACATCAAGGTGCATTCATCCAGTCCAATTTGTTGTCAGATTTCTGATTAAAGATTGTGGAAGGAGCAAATCTGAGCATCTTTCTGAATGTTATCTATTTGAATGTCTATTTTTTGCAACATACAGTAAATAAAGAATTTTTAACAATGCTGGGATATTAAAATATGCCAATTACCTATCAGTAAGATGCCCACTTTTAATAAATAAAACAGTATGTACTAACACTAGGCTAACAAATCAGACAGTTTATTAGCATATTGTAGATTTACTGTGATCAGTGTGTTTGTTGGCTAACAAGCAACAAGAAAATACACGTTTGAGGTAATCTATACTACAAAACGACTTGCTCAACAGATGTTGTAGTCACATTAAAAAATAACTACGTAAAAAAAACACATTAATCATGAATTAATGCTTTATCATATGTGTTGATGTAGAAAATTATTGTCAGCCCATGTATCACTGACAGACCTCTAATTTTTAACTCTCAGATATAATTAGCATCCAATCCTATCAGTATGACTGAAGCTACACTGAAAATGTCCAAATAAAAAATAGCAGGCAATCTAAGTTGACGTATTTGTTGTTTATAGCTCCAACATTTCTGATTATAACTCAAAACACGTTTTGATACAAATTTTTACTGCAAATTTAGAATTCCACATCTGTCAAAAATCATTAACCAGAGTAATAACTCTAATAGAAAGACAAAAAAAAAAACTCTTGATAGTCACATTACTGAAGACCGAACTGGACAACTGAGAAGCTGAGGAAAGGAGAGCTGAGAAAGAGAATCCTGAACAGAAATCTGTAGTGTCCTTATGAGCCTCTCTGACCTTGACAGAGCGAGCAGAGAGATGACAAAGACATGGGACGATAGAGGGAGGAGAGCGATTGGGTAGATGGATGAGATAAATGATAAATGGAGGAGATTGAAGTGGGGATGGAATCAAAAGAGAAGAAGAGATGATGGATAGTCACAGGGAGGTAGGTTGATGAAATTGAACCTGAAGCCGGTCTGTGTGTGTGCGTGTGTGTGTGTGTGTGTGTGTACCTGTTGGTCCAGTGTGTCTGAGGGGCCTGGTCCTTGCTGGGGGCCGGTAGGGCCGGAGCATGAGGGTGTGCATGAGAGAGTGTGTGTGAGTGGGTGTTGGCCGGCGGGTTGGAGGAGCCCGAGGAGCCCTGTGAGGGAGAGTAGTCGGAGTAGGTGGCTGAGGACCCGCTGTGGTTCAGACAGTGGAGTTTATCCACCTCTTCATCTGTAGACTCTGGACAGAGAGACACAGACAGACAGATGGCTCTATTCAGTGAAAATGTCACAACCTCTTCTTTCTGATAGCCTCTTGTACTGCTGCTGATAAGCCTTTGACACCTTTCTGTATTTCATCTCCTGGGTTCTAGTTCTTTGTAAGATCCTCTCTATCGCATCATGAACAGATATTGTTAGTATTGGTGGTGATGTGTTTTGGTTGCTTATGTCACTGAAATGGTCAAATTTAAAACCATGGTGTTGATAGTTCCTATGAGCAGACAGTGAATCACACCTCAAAAGAATAAAGAGAGCAGCTAATAATAGTATTAATAGTAAAGATGTTTCGAAAGTGTACACATTCAAACGATACAAGCAAAATTAGGAATAATTACAAAAGTGCAGAAAACAGTAATTACTACATATAATATACTTTTCCATTTGTCTTGAACATTATTATATGAAAGGAAAAAAACAATATGAAATAAATCCATAAACAGATGCAGAAAGAGAAACCTCCTAAACTAATAATAGGAAACAAAGTGAGTCAAAGTAAAAAAAAAAAAAGCTTTAAGATGAGATTTAAAACTAGCGACTGAGTCAAGAGAGACAGCAAAAGCTTGGTCGCCTTTGTTTCTAACCTGGAACAATTAAAAGACCCAAACTGGCTGTTCTGAAAGCCTGCTTGAACATGAAAGTCCTTCTCTGGTCATTGATTAAACTTCTAAAAACTCACCTATGTATGTTTAAAGGTACATGTTCAGATGTTTTTCCATTAAAACAATCCCTGAATGCCTTGAAATAGCTTAGACACATATAACTCTAAAATTTAAGGATGGGTGAAATCCCAGCCTCTCTATCTGTGGTAAGTTGTAAAATTGGAGTAATTCAGCCATACATATTAGAACCAGAAACTGATTCTGAAGAAGAATGATGAAGTCCCACTCTGCAGGTTGTTTATTTTTGCTTATGATGTGTCTTTATGCTTATAAATAACCTCACATGGATTATTAACAAGGTAAAAAACAACTTGACTTTAACCAGAGGGGTAAGGTGTGAGAGGTACCATTATATACTCCAGCACCAGATCATGCAAGTACCTAAGTTGGATTGTAAAGGAGAGTGGCAGCCAGAGCTTTGAAAGCAAGACTGGCTTGTGTGAGCTGCTGTATAACTTCACAGTTCAAGACATAAAACCATGTATAACTTTCTCTGTGTTAATAAAAGACAAAATCTATCCTCAGACAGTGAAAACATCACTTGACTACTTCCCTCACTCGTTGCTCTAGATTCAAGCCGCAGTCTTTCACATCATTTAGACAAGATACTCAACTTACTGGTTTTGTGTTAAAGTCATATTATTATCTGAACATATTTCTACCGCCAACAACTTGTAAGTTCTCGTAGCAGCTAGTGACCACAGTATTAAATCAGTGATTTTAGAAAACAAGAACATTTCTAGAAACCTGTTTCAACAATGTGTCACCATCTAAACCTGAGGTAGGCAGTATTATGTTGTCATCATTAGGCAGACAGTCTGTAACAACCTTTCAGCATATTGTAATTCAAATAGGACTGAGAGAACTGAGAGGAAATTAGATTTCTGCATCTGCTCTTGGTTCTGTTTTCAGGCTTTAGAAAATCTAGCCAATGATGGGAGATTTTGGTCAATCACAGGTCTTTTGAGAAAGACGATGTAATGCTTACTGGCTGTTCTGCCAATTCAGATACACGTGCTTCCTTTCAGATGCTGGAAAGGATGACTTTATGGCAGAAAATCGTCCAAGAGAAAAGTTCAGTGCCTCATAGAAATGCTTGCATATCCTCGTGTTCAAGAGGTGCAGGAAGAGGGCTGTATATTTAGATTTTTTTTTTTTACTTTTCCAGATTTCCAGCTTTACTTTATTGGTCAACGATGGAGTTAGGGTTACCACCTTGACCACAACAAAACTTTGAATGACAATTTCATCATTTTATTGCAAAAAAAAAAAAAAAAAGCCTACAGTTTTACACTTCATCTCATCCATGAACAGTGTTATCAGAACTCATTAATGCTCCCAAATACCACCTCACTGTTTCTGATGGTAGAAGAATCATGCACTTCCTTAATCTTGTCTTCTGTTTCTTAACCCAGATCTGTGTCATGCTCTCATTATATGTTTGGACAATATTTAGTCCACTGCACTGACGCAAGATGTGGCCTGGTTATAAAACATGTGTTTAACAGTTTTTAAAAATCTTTATTTAACTTTACTGCTCCATTTGATATCAAGAGCTGCTGTTGGAAAGGAGACTTGGAAAGAAAGCTTGTAACAGCAGTTGTTGAAAGACATAATGCAGGGGACAACTTAAATGTGTTTTTTTTTTGTTTTTTTTTAGAAACACCAATAATATCAAACCAGGAGGCTCAAGTCAAACGTACTCAAATCTTGACAAAAGCTCTTTGTTTACTGCACAAGACCCACCATGAGGAATTTATACGAACCAAGACAGAGGAGCTGTTTGAGCTTTAATCATTTTGCAGTGAGCTCCCTGAAGAAGGAGTGGATTATATGATGGAGCTCTGAATTAGCGAGAGCTACAGTTCGTCACAGAGACCGGATAATAAACTGTTTCTTTCAGAAGATGCGATTAAGGCACTAAATTATTTAGAGCTAAAAAGAGATTTTTGATAAGGCAGTAAAAGTAGCTTTGTTTTCCTCTGATGAAACTAAGGCCTTCAGGGCTAAACAAGTAAAAAAAAAAAAAAAAAAAAGGGTCGAAGTGAAAGCTGCACACACCAGACTGGAACCTACATGCACCGCAGAGGTTCACAGTATTCCCTCCCTCTCTCCGATATGTGCTCAAGTTAATTTGCGTGCCACCATGACTAATTAATGGACACTATTACAACATGCCCCAAAGCTCTTTACAAAAGACCACATTAAATTACTGGGTGCATCCCTGTGTCGAATTGTATGTGCATGCATGACTCTGTATGTTCCTATAAGACTGCAGATTTACAGAATAATACATTACCTTTCTTATCTTTTCCCAGCAGCACCACCTTTGGCTTGTACATCGGTGGCTCCACCAGGGTGGGCCTCATGTCAGAGATACGGATGTCGTTGGGAGAGCCGCCCATCGAGTCCTGAGGACAGACAAAAAAAAATTCCACAGACAGGTTGACATCAGGTTGCTGTAATACAGCATGACAGCCTTGGAAAGCTACTACTACTACTAGTAGTGAGCTAATACTGAGCACCAGTTAATATTTTATAAACATTATGGCTTCAAATCAGGATCTCTGTGATTTGATGCTGCTCTCTTGTCAGTCTGTAAAAGTAATGGTAATTGAAGCTGGTGGAGTGGAATGTTATAAAAAAGGTCATCGGATTGCTTTGAAATTGAAATCAAAAAGATGAGACTATGTTAAATGAAAATGGAATTTGGCAAGTATTCAGCAGTTGCTCAAAGTATTTAGAAGTATTTAGCATATTTAAAGATATCCTGCAGAGTGTTTGCCCTTCAACATTTTTGTTAACATTTCCCTAATGCCTCACAGCCTCAGCTATTTGAATATTCAGGTTGCTGTGATGCCACACGATAGCATAAATAGTGAAAAAAATAAATAAATAAAGAATTTAAATTTTATTTTAATTTCAACACACAAAACTATGTAAATGTGTTTGGTTTCTTGAGATAACTAAGAAATGTTTTAACTCAGTGTGTTTTCCCGTCACTTAATGAGCGGGTCCCTGTTCATGCAAAATGCATTCCTAGCAAAGGTGTTAAAATGACTTACAACTAGTAAACACAGTAAGCAACAGAGGAATGTAAACATTTCAAAAAGTCATATTTGTAAATGTTTTATGAGGAAAAGCATTCAACACAGTCTGAAGATATACAGTGCAGTTTTTGCTGAGTGACACTGAATTCAAACACAGCTTGAAAAGGTTCTGTGTAACATTTAGAAAACTCTTATGAATGAGTCTGACGGCCAATAATCAAACTGCATGCTAAACATCAGCCAAAACAGTGATGTGACAAACATGAGACTGAACATGAACTCACACACTCAAGCACTACCACTGTGACGTTAGTTAAGGCTGTGATAGTTTAGTGCTTCAGCCTTGAGGTGGAAACAGGGATTAGGCCATTGAAATCAGTCTACAGGCTGTAGTCAAACAACAAAGTCATAGAAGGTTTCCTTTTTTAGGTTACACGCTGTTCTCACACTGGTAATAAGACAGGTATATATATAGGTAGACTTCTTCACATTCCTACCAACATGTCTCATAGTCCCTTTAGTTTACAGAGTGGAGTTTAACTGTGAGAATAAGAACGATTCCAAAAACAAAACACAAAAATACAATGAATTACTTTTTTAAGATTTCCACCTAACAGACAAGTTAATCTTTGAATATTCTTGTTAAGCATACATTTTAATGACACTGTTCTTAATTATTACTGTGATCATTGTAAAAATCAGGAGAAAAAAAATGATATGATTGCACAAGTTAAATGATTAAATTATACAGTTGCTGTGCAGCAAGTTAAAAACATCCAAATCATGTTTCCACAATCCTGCTTGTTGTGTGTCTGTGTGTGCCTACACTGTGTGACAAACCTCAGAGCTCTCTGTCAAGTCTTCTTTGTCCTTCCTCTTGGGAATGTCGATGCCAGAGTTATGCATTGATCCCTGATCCATTAGCTGAGACTGAGAGAAGTCCTGCATCTCTCTGTCTGTCACCTGACAAACAGTTTCATCTTTTTCAGTCATGCACTGATTTTTACATCATTTAACAAACACAAACTTTAAAGAGTAACTCAGCTGTGTGTCTCACATACAAGGGAATACATTAAATCAAAGATTTAAAGTGTCTGTTGTTGTCTTTCCTGACTACTAAATGAAGTATGTTAAATACGCTTGTGCCTGCCTGTGAGTTGTGTTTGCACCTCTTTAAGTGTGTTTGTGTGCTTCCTACCTCTTTGGGAGGCAGCGGCCATGGCGGTTCATACGGCTCTTTGCTGAGATGTGTATGTTCCATGTTGGTTCCTGCCGAGGTGGCAGTGCCTGTGCTCAGCTGATGCTGGTGCGGATGTCCACCATGAACGCTTTTACCCACAAGACTTTGCACTGACTTGACCATGTTCTTCAGATCCTCGGGGTAGGGTGTTGGGTAGCGCTTTAGGTTTATCTCCACCTGCAAGACACACACCAACAAACAACTAAAATCAGAAGATAAACCGACTTGCAAATGGGGAAGAACAACAGGTTTCAACAGAAATATTTCTGAATATGAATTCCCTTTTAAAAGTTTACTTTAAATGGTTTCTTTGATTCAGAAAAAAAGCAGACTTTTTATCTCTTCAGTGTGACAAATACCTGAAAAAGCTATGGTACTTTTGCATTTCAGTAGTTGAAATCTGAAATGTGGCATATGTCACATAAACATTAGTGATACCAAATGTAACAAAGTTGTTGAAAAAAAATTTTTTTTTGACCAACATCTGCTTGGAAACGACATAAACAAGTGACAAACGACAGTGAGACATTGTGTTAGCGATGTTTATGATACATTTTACCTACTTGAATTGTTTTGTTTTTTTCTGTTAAAAATGACGTGTCCAAAGATATCCACACACTTAAAAAGCGTCAAAAATTTTTTGACAAAAATGCAGCTTCAGTAACATTCCAGCTGGTCCTACAAATGTCTACCATGTTTAGGATGATTCTAATATACTATAAACTGAGAACAGCTGATGCAGTAGTTCTTTGGCCAGTTACTAGTCAAGTCGTGGTTAAACCAAAGAGTTTCACGACGCCCTCCAGTTGTGCACTGTGGCATCTCACAGGAAGGGAAAAGCCTGGAAAGCCATATTCAAGTGTCTTCAAGTGACAGTGGCCACAGTGCAAATCATCATCAAAAAGCATGAGCAGTTTCACACTGTCAAAAACCTCAAAGGGCATGGTATGAAATGAAAGGCAACACCTGAACAGGCAAGAATGGCTAGGTTCAGAGGTCAGAAAGGAATCCAAAGATCGCCACCAAGACCATCCTTATGAGTATGAACAATACTGGTACCAACATCTCAAAGCAGGAACTTCAGGAGATGCTGAAAAGTCTGGTCTCCGCGAACACAGACCAAGAAGGACTCAAGCAAAAGCTCATACTTCCAGGTCATTTCGGTCATCAGCTCTGTGGTCGAATGAGACAAAAACTGGCGAAAGAAGGCGAAGCATTCAATTCCAATAAGACCATCCCCATGGCAAAGCATGGTGGTGGTTTAGATGTGTTTTTCAGTCAGTATTTGACCTTGTCAAAGTAGACAGCATCACAGGAAAAAAAAGACTACAATAAGATTCTTGAGGGAAACATCAGGTAGTCTGTAAAAAATCTGGCCTTGGGCAGCACTGGACCTTCCAACAAGACAATGATTTGAAACATACAGCCAAAGTGGTCAAGAAATGGTTAACAGACAACAATATCAACATTTTAGAGTCCAGACCTGAATCCCATCGAGAATCTCTGGGGGGAACTGAAGACCAGAGTGATGGCGAAGAAGCCTTTCAACCTCAGAGACCTGGAGATCGTCACAAAGAGGAGTGGAACAAAATCCCAGTGGAGACATGCAGAACGGTTATTAGCACTTACAAGAACTGTTTGGCAATGTTGTGGCAAACAAAGGCTTTGTCAGTGATTATTGAGAAATTTCTGACATGGCCTTTTTTTGTAAAAATGTAAAAAAAAAAATTAAAAAAAATGCTGGCAGAATAGTTATTTTTTTCTTATATATCTCTAAAGCAATGTCTTTCCGTCTTGTCCCTTGTTTATGTCGTGTCCAGTCAGAATTGACCACGAAGCAAAATTTGGCATTGGTTAGAATAATTTTGAGTTTTTCTGTATAATGATTCTACAAAGAAATGCTCCCTTGATTGAAAGTACAGTTTGTACTTTTAATCCAGTGAGCCAGATTTTTCTCAATACATCTGTTCACTGCTTGTGCTTATGTCTTAACCTGGAAGGTTTCGTGCAATGAGTTAGTGCTGCTCCAGCTGTTAGTCCGTTAAAGCTGTCTTTGCAAAAAAAAAAAAAAAAATTATTAAAAATAAACTCTGTTCCCCTTACATGACCCCTGGAGTTAATTAATGCAAGCGAGAGCGAGAAAGCGGCAGAAACAGAGAAAGACAGAGAGCTGACCTTGACCTTCCCAGAGTTGTCCTCTTCTTCCTTCTTGTCCTCAAAGTCAAAGGCCACAGTCATCCTCTGCTGTCTCTGCTCCTCCCACAGAGTAGGATTAAAGCTGTCGCTGTCCGACTGGTAATCTGCACACACACAGACGCACACACACACACAAACACACACACACACACACACACACCAGTGATTAATGATCGAGGGTTAACACTCCCAATCTGAGACTGGAAATTGTCAGTGTGCACACATCCTCTTCATAGAGAACATAACATCCAATAATGTAACAAATGCTAATATTGTAATGTTACTGAATGTAATCAAACAAATACAAAACATTCAGTGACCTTTTCTCAATGTCCTTAACCCACGTTCACACATTATGCAGCACACACACACACACAGTTTGTACCCTCATCGTGTCGCGGCTGCTGAGGAAACATGTAGTTGGTCAAAACCTTCTGTTTGGTTTCTGGGTGGGCTTCTGTCTGCAGAGGGATCAGAGCCTTGGACTGCAAACACACAAATACACGTATTTCATTAGTATTCTTCAAGGAACTTTGACAGAGGATACTGATTCCCTGATTGCTGATCTTATCCTAATCCTGCCACTATTACTATTATTATATTAACAGCTTAAAAACAAACATTCATGCTTGAAGTTTATTTAATTCTCTTACACTCTTGGACTACAGAGAAGCTTGACTTGACACAAAACAGTTTCAATTAATAATATAAATCATTTGCAAATCAATTTTACCAACAAGGAAAATGAATTTTGGATTACATTTGGATTACAAATCAAATTGTGTAACCTGAGTGTGGCATGTTCTTAAAATATGAATTGTCAATTCTTTCATTTGCATGTTGATCTCAGAAAACATTTTCATTAAAAATGCTAATGGGACATAAATAGAAACACAATCAAAAACGTATTGATGCATACGAATTCCCATGTTGATCTATAGTACCAACAAAACAACCTGTCCTTTTTTAAAATTTAACGTTAATGTCAAGATATTTGAATGTTCATGATGTCAAGGTATGCAGTTGTTAAGCATGAAATAGCGTAACTGAATTTGAGGGCTGAGTTCTGAGGCAGAGCATGCACGCATAAGTGGCAATTTTACATGTAAATGTAAGGCTGCACTGCCATTTCACAAATTGCATTTGAATTTTAAATTTGCTTTTTTTCCTAAGCAGGTAAACAGGGATCCAGGGTTGTTGTGACTTTTGATATTATTTAACAGTTTTATTCAACTTTAAGCAAAACTTTTAATGTCTTTGTTTTGTTTTTCTAAACCATAGTGCAGCTGAAAACGAAATACGTTGTGCTTCTCGATGAAGCAATGACTGCACTGTATTTACTACATCGAGCATACAAATGATGAAGCTCTGCAATATGTTACATTGCTATGGAACCGCAGGATTATTATGAGGAAAAATAATTTGCAGTGAATTCTTAAATAAAAGCACACAATAAAGTAATTATCAAACATGAAAATCAAATGAAAATGAACAATGTCATCTTAGCACAAGTATTTTTTCTGACAAATATTCTTCCTCCCTTGTTCTTGTTCATTCTTCCTTGCCTTGCTGTTTAGACAATAAGCTGCTAAAAGTGAAAGTAAAGCAGCTGCTGAATTTTCACAATAAAAGCTTTCCTGAAAAAGCAAATGAATGGGAATGGGAGCCTTTCCAAAAAATAAAATGTGATAATAAAAATAGACCATTTTATTTGATTTACATGTTGATGACTTTTAGCGTTTGTGCTACGTATTTTTTGTAGCAGGCACCGGCATTAAGAGAGTGTAGGAGGAGACACAGATACCTGATTGTCAGAGAGCCACAGAGCTGCCAGGTCCTTCAGCTTAGTGAAGGTAAACGGTAGATTCTTTAACCTGAGACGGAGAGAGGGAGGGAGGGGTGAGAAAGAAAAGAGAGATGTTTCGTCTGCCTACGCACCGTACAGCCTGCACCGCACGTAACCATGGCAACACACTCACCCATTCCCATGGTAACTGTAGGCTGTGAGAGCTGCTAGAGAACCGAAACGGCCATTGAGAAAGTGTTGCTTGTGTGTGTTTTTGTGTGTGTATAGCTCACATCACTACTGAGTCATAGCTTGGTCTCTGCCTCTGTGTGTGTTTGTGCGTGTGTGTGCGTGCGTGCGTGTGTTTCTATGTGTGTGTCTACCTGTTGTCGCTGAGGTTAAGGACTCGTAGTTTGGTCATCTGTCCGATCTCATCAGGAAGAAACTCCAGTTTGTTGGACCGCAGTGACATCACTGTCACGTTCTTACAGTTACCGATCTGAAACACACACACACCCTTCACATCAGATTATAATTACATCACGTGTTGAACAGTACCTGATGCATTAAGGAACACCATCAAATAAGCTACATTACACAGTGTATCTGCAGGTTCAGGGATGTTAAATTTAAGACTTGTGAAGATCTTTTTACAATGACATTGATGAAATTCAAGACCTTGCATTTACAAAATGTAAAACACTCATGAAGAACCTGTTTTTACTGCCAGGCATTTTATTGAGACACCCACAAAAGTGACTCAAAATGGTACAGGGCTCCATCAATAGAGCACCATCTTATCCATAACATTATAATTAGATGCTACATTTGTTTTATAACCCTCATTATAGTGAGCTAAGTTCTCAAAGTTTAAGCCAAACAACTAAGCAAAATCACTATCTTAGTTTTAAATAAACAGTTATTTGTGTATCACTGTTCCTTGTTTGCTGTTTGAACAGCTAGTGCTTCAATAATGTTTAGATTCAGCTTCTTTAGTTCCAATGGTGGGCTGCAAACAGCCTAACGTGGCACTACCTAACGTTATCCTGCTGGAGTCACTAATGTCTCATGAAAACCACCAAAAAGATTAACATCAACGTCATGCTTAACGTCTGTCACCTCATCTGCAGGTGTCCTTAATTTTCATTTTAATACAAGAGAATGATTCAGTAATCCATGTCTGTTTAATTTAGGACATGAAAGATGGAGTTAAGGACTAGACAGCCAATTTTAAGGACTCGGAGCCTTTTAAGAATTTTTCTAAAAATTATCTGACAATGTGATCACAGAAATATTAAGGCAGCGACTTAAGAGTTTTTTTGGTTAATGTTCCAGAAAATGTCAAAAGATCTGGAGAAATTCTCATCACTCAGTCAGTTTCATCTAATGTCTGAATAGTTTTACATAGCTGGACCTATCTCCACAATGCTGTGTCAGTGCTGGAGAATAGTCTGGTTGCACCCCAGTACTGCTCTGGTATAGCGGGGACAAACTCTGGATTGTTTGTATTTCTCTAAGCCAATTACAATCATGTTTGGGGGGTGTCAAGCCCAGGATGCAGCGATGGTGCCCCAGCTAAATAGTCATGGGAAATTGTTTTGGTGAAACATTTGCATGAAGTGTTGCTAACATCACCATTAAAATTACCTCTGACAGCATGTAAGCATGTATTTTGAAAACGTTGAAATGGATATGACAATAGGGGAGGAGAACGATGTGTAAAATGTGCGGAGGGAATTTTTTCGCTTCTACCCTAAGTCTATGTTTGCTAAGTCAGACTAAAGTCCAACCAACAGTGGATTCTATTTGAGGTCAAAAAAAAAGAAAGAAAAAGAAGCTGAGCATACTATTGCAACATTCTTATCATCCTATTGTTTAATATGTGAGAGACATTGTTGTCACACACCACTTCATCATTCTTGTCCACTCTGCCATGACTTTAAATAAGTTGCTGCAAGTGAAACTCAACACTTACTGCAGATTTTTAGTTATAAAAGCCTTTCAGCAACAGCAAATTAATGGAAACAGGACCCTATCCTAGAAATAAAATTAGATCTCATAGATAAACAAGAAGATTTTCACAGCTGAGATGCTCGAGGCAGTAAATTTATCACTTAATTTGTTGTTGACCAACTAATCATTTATTCAACTAATCTCTTCAACTCTGAATAATATCAAGGCCAGCACTGCAATAAGTGAGTGTTTATGATGTGCTGATCTCCCTACCTCCCGGGGCAGCTCTGTGAGGAAGTTCTCATCAGCAGCGAAGGTCCGCAGGCTGTGCAGGTAGCCGATGGTGGGAGGCAACGACTCCAACTCATTACAACTACAGTCCAACTCCTCCAACAGAGACAGACTGGGTGAAAGGAAAACAGGCAGGAAGGAGGAGGAGATAAGACAGACAGGAAATCATACTACAGGCTACAAAATCTCTGCTGCACTATTTTATTACTCAGACAGGTTTTAAAAGACAAGAATGGCCACATTCTCTGTTTTTACAACTGTCAACAAATTCTGTGAAAAGACTAAAACAAGGAATTAACTGATCTTACTAGCAAGTGCTGTCTGTGTTTCTTTGTGCCACTTAGTACCATTGCTGTTCAAAAACACACCAGTGATCTGTATCATTGCACCTGGTAACATGTTTCTTTTTTACTATGAACACAAACACACACACATACTGTTGTTTACTTTGAGTCAGCCTCCCCCCCCTACACACACACACACACCATCCTGACACACCAAATGTGCATTAATCTGCAGCTGAAAAAAGCAAACACATGAACAGCTTACTCCAGTTTAAGTAACACTTTGCAAGATGTTTAAGGACATTTTGTTTTTTAAAAAAACAAAATTTAAATTAAAAAACAGATTTCCATCGGTGCAGAAATGTGAGAATGCTGGTTAGTTTCACTCTTTTCATGGGATTTGTTGACAGCAATAAAAATAAAGAATGACCCCAGGCCTATCTTTTAACATGTTACGATGAGAAGGAAACTTGGCAACAACTTATACGTGGAGAGTGTTGAGAGAAGGAAAAGATCGTCACATTAAAGAAGCAGTCAATTATTCAATCAGCCAATCCATAAATTAATAGCTTTAAGGAATTGAGTCTCATTTGATGCCCACGTATCCTCATTTTCCCGCCTTTGATGTTGGAAATTCTTCAACCTAGATCTCAACCTCTCCAAAACACTTAGATATACAGTAACATCCATAGCAGGCCCTCAACAGGACACCTTGACCCCCCCTTTGACTGCCTTCGTTGGCCTAGCATCACGCTAACAGCAGGCTAATGCTAATGAGACAACACTTTTACATTAATGTACTGTCACTGTTAACATTGCATTAGTCTGCTGTTATTATTCCCAATAGACCCGACCATCTGGGCCACCATACGGTCTGACAGGAGAGGAGAGGAGAGGAGAGGAGAGGAGAGGAGAGAAATTTCATACCCCATATTAAAATTTAAGAAGAAGGTCACATTTGCTATCGTTCTTTTCTCCTTAGCATTGCTTATATCCCTAATTAAGAAAAAAATTTTAATGGCGCTCTCTTTTTCTTCAAAAATGTACAGCTAAAGTTAAACCTATCAAATATGACTTTTTAACAACTTTCATAAGATTATTTAGCCGCTATCTGCCTACCAGCACCATAATTGTACGTTCAAGAACAGGCGTTGTAAGGAAGCACAGGGGCTCAATGATAGATCGCTTAAAGACTTGAGTCGCTGGATTCAAATCTCCTTTGTGTACAGAGTATGCATAAGGGCCCCTCTTGTTGAGTATGAAGGCTGCAGTTTTGCTTCAGAGGAAGCTCAGAGACATCAGCCATGAACAGCTTCAAGTTCAGTAAAGATATTTTACACTTTGACTGACACTAGACTTATAGATTCAGTTTTGTGTACTTTGTGTAAATAAACAGCATTATACAGCATCCTGTTGAACCAATGCAGGCTATGTAGTACAAGAATGGCTGTCTTACATCCACAAATTCTGCATTTACTAGGACTTCATGTAAATAATTTTAATTAAGTAACTGATTAGGAATATAGAATTATTGTGTGTAGACAAGTATGATGAAGGGATCACATACATCATTAGTGAGAAACACTTAAAAAACTAAAGGGGTAAGAAAAGGACCTTTTAAGGGGACGTAATGAATCTACAGCACTACTTATTGAGGCTAAAACCTGGGACTTGTTCAGGAAGACAAAATGCTTTCAGTGCGTTCAGATACAAATCTTGCAGAAAGTGTTGGTGTCAAATAGAGAGTTAAATGGTCACACGGATTACCTACGCATGTGTAAAACAGAACTAATTCAAAACATTCATTCGTAAACTGATGTAATGTAGCACTTTCGTTACTGCTTACTTGTTTGGATTGTTGCTCTTTCGGAAAATTTCAACCACTAACTTATAAAAATCTATACAGAGATGAAAGAGAGACTCCCTAACAATACTTTCAAATTCAGATGTCTAAAATGTTCCTGCTTCATCCAACGAAATATTAATCCTAATTCAAAAGGAAATAATGCAATTACTGTGACAGAATCTGGACTGTGATTGATAATAATGAGAATTATGGTAATCGCATTGCTCTAATCATTTTACATGCAATCATTTTCCATCTCGACCCTCCAGGTTTTAGCTGGCCTGGGTTCACGCACATTAGCAATTACAGATGTGGATTTTATTCAAATATTAGGTCCAAATGTCCGACCATGAACGAAATGTAAAGATCTGCTTATGTTTGCATGTAATTCATATGAATGTAAGATGTTTCCCACATTGATAGCATGTGGCAGCAAGCTCGTATTTTTGTATCTGCAACGCGGCTGAACATCAGTCTGTCTCTGAACACACCCCTGGAACCAGGAGGCTAAAGTTACTCACCCTTGCTTGGGCTTCGCACTAAGCCACGGCAACGCAGCAAACACAACACACAGAACCCCCCAATCATCAGCCAGCATAACAACACAGCAGTAATAAACAAGGAAAACAACGACCCACCAAAGATAAACAATCTCCTGCTGTGTGACTAAAGATTTTGTTGAAGGTGGCATTAAAGTAAAACAAAAGTCTACTGCATATGACGTGAATCTGGCTTCAATTTTAGCTTTGCTAGCTTTTCATGGCAGTGTGGGCAGGCTTCTTACCTCCCAATGGTGTTAGGCAGTGAGGTCAGCTGGTTGTCATCTACCTTCAGTGTTGTCAGCTTCTTCAACATTCCTACATCAAACACACATACGCAAAGTCATTCTCTTCTTTAAGCAAATATACACTGTGCTCCCAGTTTACTCAAAACTAAAAAAAATACTTACACATCCAAACACACTAATTCCTGCAATCTGTACAGTACAAACACAGTCTTCCACTGCAGCTGCCACACAGTTCCAATGAGAGTTGTAGAAATAGTTCAAAATTGGAGAAATATGCCGTATTGTGTTTTTTTTTTTTTTTGCTGAGAAATAGATGAGAAGATTGATGACACTCTGGATCGTAAATATGATTAGCTTAAATAAGCTTAGCTTAAAGACATGAAATAAAGGGAAACAAGTAGCCCGACTGTCAAAAGATAGCAAATTGACCTACTAGCTCCTCTAAAGTTCATTACTTAACATAGTATAACCTTTTTTGTTTGTTGAGGGGTAGAGTGGGGGGAAGGTAGATTTTTAACAGATTCGGGCTTTCATAGACAGCACACATAAGGAACCAATCCTGTAAACTTGCAGGGTGGGGCTCTCTGCATTGTTATTCTTTTTTACAAATGATTTCCAGTACAAACACTTAGGACTGAATTACTCCAATATTACAATTTCCCATTGTGTAGCCACTGTAGTATAGCAACGTTATGAGCAGAGGCACAGGTAAGCTGGTGTGCTCAAGCTGCAGTAATTAGGGGAGAGGGCGGTGCAGAGAGAGACGGGGACTCAATAGATCTGCAAAATCTACAGAAAGTGTCAATGTAGAGTTACATTGAAGCCATTTTTAAACAGGAAGGGATGGTTTAATTGAATTGAACTGAATTTCCCTTCTGGGATAAATAAAGTATTTTTCATTCATTCATTTCATTTAATTGAAAACACTGAAATATGCAACTCTAACACACTTTGACACAGTTAGGGATTCAATCAATCACCAAAGAAGGACTTGTAGAGTCAGGCTAACTGTTTCTTAAGTCTTTACACAAAGCTAAGCTAACTAGCTGCTGGTTGTATTCATTTTTATTTTACAGATATCAGAGTAGTCTTAATCTTCTCTTGTAATTCTCCAATAAGAACAATTTCCAGAGTTTCATAGCATACTTTTGAGCAGGAGTGTATTCAAATGGCTCTCTCAAAGACAGTGATAGTAGGTAACAGCTTGACTCTCTTGAATGACTGTAAGTGTTTGTGTGTGTGAATGTGTGTGTACCTATAGTGTCAGGGAGGTGCTGCAGCATGTTGGAGGATAGCAGTAGGTCTTCTAAGGCCTCACACCCGGAAATGTCCGTGTCCAACTGCTCAATACGATTCTTAGCTAGGTCCAAGTACCGTAACTGACGGAGCTTCCCTATCGACTGTGGTGGGGAGGGCAAGGAGAGGAAGGGGCGGTTGAAAGAGTGACAGAGAAAAGATGAATGAGCAAAGTCTCAAAGATCGTCGGCTGTGATCTCCTGCAATGCTTTTTGTTGTCACTGGGAGAGCTGAAAGTCTTCTTACCCCTGGTATAGACTGTAGAGAGTTGTTATCCAGCCACAGCTCCTTTAGGTTGTGGATCTGTTCCAACACCTCTGGCTAACAAGCAGACAGAAGAATCCTCATTCTCATATACTGAACACATATAGCATAAACCAACAGATATACAGTTACATATAGGAAAACAATTAATTATTATCCATTACCATCAAATGGCACAATCTCAGCATTTATATTGTGTATTGTAGTGATCCAGAAATTAACTTGAGTCCATCTTCAAACCACGACTGGCAGAAATAAATAAATAAAAAGCTGGCAGAGTGGGTGAGACTGGCAATCACTCCCTCCATGATTTCTCTGTCTTGGCAGGAAGCAGAACGCAGAGCCAACCTACTCCCGTCATAGTCAGCTTCCTGTCTGACCTTGATGTCCCACCCTGTCAGTCTTCACGCAGCCCGTCCTCCCTCCTCCCTTCCTGTCGCTGTGTCCCATTTCAGGGTCTGACTGAACCCGCGCCTCATCACTAGATAAGATGGTCTACAGAGGGTTCACCATATGCTGCACTGGGTCTTGAAATGTGAACTCTGAAGATGGTGTCCCCTGAAATGGGACACGGCATCTGTGTTGCCGACCTTCCTTTCCTCCTTTGGAGTCTTGCCTTTCTCCCTTCAAAATATTCAGTCAATTTCTTCACCAGTAAAGACTTTTAACTGGTGAATACACACATGACAATTAAGGCATGAATGTTTCAGCTTCATGTGACCATCAAGGATCATTTCGGTGACAAATACTGGATTTTCAGTTCTGTGTAAAAATGTAGATATTTAGATTCTAACTGGTCACACAAAACCATCAAGGAGGCACTTGAACAAATTAATTCTGCAACATCCACATTGTTAAATTGCAAAACATGAAAGTGGTCTCACCATTTCAGAGAATTCATTGCTACCCAGATCCAGCCTCTCCAGCTGAGTCAGTCTGTGGATGGACCTGAGAGGAGAAGATGTGCTCATTCGTACGATTACTACAGTTATGGCATACTGTAAGTCAACTTCACATTTTATATACTGTAAAACTGTGCAGTACAAACTTAACCTTTTTAATACTTCAATTTGAAGCTGAACATGATAATGTTGTTGTTACTGTAGGCACTACAATGTATTATTGCTTGAATTTAAATATATTTATTGCAGTGTGGCTCTAAGCTGTGGATAACTAGCCCTGATAATGGCCCGTGGGATGTGACGTCCATCATCCGAGAATTTCAAACAAAACAAGGTTTGGTGTTCAAGGAAACTACTGTAAACCCACACTGACCATGTTGTGTATGCAAATGTTTCAAATTAAAGCAACAGTTTGGCTTCAAGATACAAAATAATATCAAGGCCACATCCCAACAGTGTCAACGTGCACAGATTGACACTTGATGGCGTGATTTATATGGTGTTCTTCAGTAGCCTGTGTTGCCCCAATAAGGATTAGGGTGCAACAAGAAAGATTAAATATCAGCATATGTGTATCAGGGTCATGAGCAGAATTTTGTACGATTTCATTTATATTTTGAACACACTACTTTTTCTTTTTGCTCAGGCAGACTTGTTGCAAAGCCGTGACATGATCCCCATGCACCCTTTCCTTATGTAAAATCACTGATACAGCAATGTAAAAATAGTTCATTACATGTGAAAGTCCTGCATTTAAAAAATCCAACTGAAGTAAAAATACATAGGTTTTGCAGCAGAATTTGGTGAAAGTATTACAGTAAAAGTACTGTTTTGGTCCCTCTGATTGATATATTACTATATATGACATCATTATATTATTAGTGGTGAACAATCAGTGTGTAAGCTGCATGTGACTGTTGTTGGTGGAGCTACTTTATTTCCAGTTTTACATACAGGGATAGGACATATAGCTAAAGGCTTGCCAGATGATTGATGGAGAGGAAAGAAATCTGTTTTCAATTATTGGACTTTTTCTCTAACTTAGATTTTTGTGAGATGTTGGTTCATTTGAACATTCAAAAATGAGCTAAAATGAAACCATATAAGAAGTTTAGAAGAAAAAAAACTCACTCTTTGGTTGAGCTGTTAACAACTCACAGACATCTGAATTGTGAACCTGACTACACACTGCTTCTTGCAAAAAGAACAAAAAGGAATCCAATGGTTTAATCCTGAACTATGTGATGGATTTTAAAAGCTTGTTATAATATCCGCTGTGTGAAATGTTCATCTTGTAAGTAACTAAAGTTGTCAGATCAACGTAGTGGAGCAGAAAGTACAATATTTTTGTCTGAGATGAAATGGAGTGGAAGGATAACGTAGCATGAACTGGAAGTATTCAAGTAGAGTACCTTAAAACTATACCTAACTACAGTACTTGAGTGAATGTACTCGATTACTTAGCAGTATTATTCAGGACTTTTTCACAATGTCTTGTAACTAAGGTCTCTGTTACTCGACTTTAAAGGCTGTCTCTGTTGAGTAAAGTTGGACTAGTGGCCCTTCTTGAACAGAGGGATAAATTCAGCTGCATTATGTTAAACACTTAAAACTGTTAAGACTGACATGATCCTGCTATAATAGGCTTCATCAGTATTCAAGAACACCTGCCAGGGATAAATATAGTTTTAATCTGGACACCTGGGAAGGCAAGCATACACTCTGTAATATCATCAAGCGTCTGCGTGTGTGTGTGTGAGCTGCAAAATTAAAATCAACCTCTACGTCGTTCTCACTCTTTCTCTCTATCCCCCCCACACACACACACACACACACATATATGGCAGTTTGTCTCACTTTGGCATGGTTTTCAGGTGGTTCTCTCTCAGCTCCAGGATCCGTAGTTTGGAGAGTCTGAAAAACAGAAGGCACACAAAACCCAAACTGAATTTAGTGCAACAGTTATCAGCAGGAAGGTTACTAAAGGCCAAATAACATAAAACGAGGGAAAAACAAGCCCAATTTAATTCATCAACTCCAAAATCAGTGTCAAACTCATTTCCTCATCATAATTATGTGCAATCACAACCTGGTAATGTTGGACAAAACATGACTTCACAGGATACCAGATGATCACCACCATGACTGTGTTCAAATACAGTGGATTTCTGTCACTTCCATTTAAAGCAATTCACGCAATTCCAGCCGGAAGTTTCTAATGTCAGCTGCGCTCCCTCACAGTAACAGGATCTACAAATTGGCCGGTTTGTTGTTGGTTTGTTGCCCAACTTCTAGCAAAAAGTTGGGTAACAAACAAACCAAAAACAGTAAAAGATGATGTTTACTTGGATAAAATGCTAAAAAGTAGCATCCAAATGAGTCATTGTACGGAGGGACAAATGATTGATTGTGCTAAAGTGTATAACTTATGCATGATGAAAACAAGACAAACATGTTTTTGCCCCATATTTAGAAAACTTAAGCGTTGCACTGACGCTAACACATTCAACAACATCAAACATGCCATTTAAGGAAAATACCGAATTGTGATGTTTCTGATATATTGTGCTATCTGAAATATAACTTTTAAAAGCTAAAGTTCAATATTCATTGCATAACAGACAGATTTAAAACATGGAATGGAGCATTTTCACATGAGACACAATCAAAACATGAGCTGCTCTATGAATGAATACATGAGATAAAGCAATTACCACAAAACGTGTTGAGTAAAAGAAACAAAGTAATACTTAAAAAAACAAACAAACAAAGAAAATAATACAACTTTTCTCTAAATAATCTCCGATCCTGAAGTGGGTGGGTGATTGATCATCAGCATCTAAGTACTGCACATTCTGTAATCAAGTTGAAATAACAATATTAAAAATAAATCCTGGGTCAGATGTGCTGATTTGCTAATTGCATTTTTTTCAAACTGCAATTTCAATTTAAAATCGATTAATTGTTCAGCCCAGCTGTATGTGAACATTTTTGTGATGAAGATTCCCCCACACAAGAGGTACTGAACAAAGGACTCTGTTGCCTTCAATATTTAATCACAAACAGTCCAATAGAGTCACACACATGCATCAGTTTACCTGCCAAAGTTAGCCGGCAGATACTCCAGGAAGGCATCGTTTAAAAAGAGCTGGGTCAGATTCAGGAGCTGCGTAAAACCATCTGGGAGTCTGGAGGTGAGAGAGAGAAAGGGATAGATAGACGGAGAATGGGAGAAAGAAAGAAACAATAAAAGAATGGGAACGAGGAAAGAAGGTGTGTGTCCTTGATCGGCCTCTGTGGAATAAGGCACGGACAATGTTCCCATAACAACCTCTGCAGAAGCAGCTAACTGCTGTTAGCCTGCAGATGACTCATCTGCTGCCCCCCCCCTCCACACACACACACACACACACACACACACACACAAAGTAGAAGAAGCATTTCAGTCTGCAGCAAACCGTGTGGTTGAGTCCAGCTTTGTTTCATGGTCATTACACAGCCGATAGGAAAACAGCAATTACAAGCGTAACACCTGATGCTGAAAGCATAATGGTGAACAATAACAGCACTTTACTGGGGTACTTATATATATATATATATTTATATATATTCTATTGACTTAACATAACTGAGCCAACGAGATATGAACACAGGGGCCAGGTTTTATGGTTGCTGCCACGTGTTATGAAATATTCAGCCTCCCTGTGGTGCTGGAAATGTCTAGATCTGCATAAGTAAAAACAGATTATATAAACAAAAGCAGTGTTCGAGCTGTGGCAGAAAAAAAATCAGTTCAAAAGCTTAACATGTGGCAAAGCTATCAAATAATCTTGAACTGAGCTCTGGTCTACTCAGACTAGTTGATAAAATTGTGCCATCAAAACGTTTCCCAAGAAAAGCATGTCCCCAAAAAAGGCAATCTGAAAGTGTGAAAGAGGTATTTATTTTTACAGTGACATAGCCAGCGTTCTGTGCTCAGAATAATTAGTCAGACACTTTTTGGTTTTGGTGTTATCGCAAACCAGTTTTTTAAACATTAACATTCAGTGCCATCAAAGCACAGACCAAAGCAGGCAGTCACTGGTTCAGTTCTGCAGTGATGGTGTGTGTTAGTGCCTTACTTGGTGATGGGGTTGACGCTGGCTTCCACCACCGACAGACCTTTACAGCATTTTATATTGTCTGGAAACTCCTGGATTCCTGTTAGAAAGAGAGAGTTAGAAGAAAAGCGTTGCATCATAAGACTTTGACTGTGAAGCTCACAAGTTGTTTCACCTGCTCAACTTCACAGGATCTGGGAAAGCAGTAATTTTCATTCAAATCATTCATGGAGATGTTTTGTTTATTTTTTAGAAATGTTCCTGATTGCAATCAGCCATTAAAATGCCAGGAAGTTTGCAGCACATTTTTACTTTGCTCATTATTTTTTTATGATTATTTGTTTGCTTGTTTTCATATTTGTTCAGGCTGAGGTTGTCATCAATTTTTTTACCGTTTTTACTGATGTCTAGCTCTTTGAGGTTAACCAGGCTGGCGATGGTGGTGGGCAGGTTGGACAGGTCGTTATCGGGCATGCTCAGCTTCTTCAAGGCCTGGCAGTTGAAGAGTTGCTATGGGAACACAAAGGAATGACAAAGGAATATCACAGTCCGCTGGCAAAATCTCCAAGACCTCAAACAGAAAGGTACAAAAGGACAGAGCTCGGAAAGTCAGCTGCAGGCCTGCATCACTTAATGTTGTGGAAAAGCTGAGCCATTGTAGCTGCATTTTTGTATGAATAATGCAGATTTAATCTCCTCCATACGGTGGGCCCTAAGGACAAAACACATACAAGCGTGAAAGCAAAAACATCCAGAGAATGGAGCCCTCAATTGAAATATAATGCAAATTCCAAAATATATACAAGAGTGAAAGTGAATGCATAAAAACAGCTTAGTGTACAGATATATTATAAATACCAAGCAAATGCTGTTTAGATTCAGAAATGCTGCACATACAACAACACAAAACAAGACAGGAGCTCAAAACTAAGGAGGGCAGTGGAGAAAATTTTAAACAAGCAGCAACAAAACTGTTTTTAGCTTTTACATTAATATATACATTTTACATTAAAGCTTGCCAGAAAGAAAACAAAAACTACATGGTAAAGTAGGCTATACTCAAGGTCCACTTAGAAGCTTTACAAGGAGCTTTAAACCGTTGATTTTACCCGCTAGAGTCACATTTCACCTCTTGATATATATCGAGAGAGCAAGAGAGAAACAGAAAGGTTAAAAAAGGGCAGTAAGAAACAAAAATTGTAGTAGGTTATGTGTAGGTTAGCAAGCTAGCATTAGCAACACTAGCATAATTAGCTTACCTTCTGTAAAACAGTTACCAGCACAACTGTTTGCTAGATAGCTAGCTGAGCAAGAATTTTGTTGTTTGCTAAAGTACCTGTACTTGTATAAATGTTTTAAAAGTTAGAATACATTTTGTTGTCCAAAACACATTAAAACCTAATTACTATAAGGAGTAATTTCCAAGTGACTCAATAATGTAGGTTCATAGCTTCACACCAACATTGATAATACAGGGAGTTAGCATTAATTAAAACAACATTATTTATTTTATTGGTACTTGTTTACAGCTATGCATAAGGTAGCAAGCTATCATTAGCAACATTAGCATAATTAGCTTACCTTCTGTAAAACAGTTACCAGCACAACTGTTTGCTAGCTGAGTAATAACTTTGTTGTTTGCTAAAGTACCACTTCCTGCATAAATGTTTTAAAAGTTAGAATACATTTTGTTGTCCAAAGAACATTAAAACCTTTTCTTCTTACTGCCACCAACGCATCTTTGAGACTGGCTACTGCTAAGTCAGTGTGACTAACAGTCTATCATGATGCTAACAGCTGTGAGGCTACTATTCAGCTACTCCTACATCTTTACCACGAATAGCTTAAAATATGGAGCAGTGTAGCCTGATGATAGTGAAAGACTGAAACTAACAGACATGCACTTATCTGCTTGTAATTATAGGCATTTATCCTCGTATACATGAAAGGGAAAGGAGGGGATTTGCGTGACTGGCATTCATTCATATACTTAACTGTTTTTAAAAAGGTGTGATAGCATGTAGCATGTTTTTGTTTCCACAGGAATATGACAGTGATCAGTTTTACATCAGATGACCAGTCACAGATGTAGCAGGTATCCTGTGATTTTTTAACTCTTTGTAAAATCAGAATTTTTAAATCAATTTTAGCAGATTTCATGTGTAAGACTTAATCAACTTGTTTCTCAAATATGTATTAAAAGTAGATGAAACGTTGGGAGACTGAGCCTAGTCAGTGTTAAAGGTGGCGAAACAAGACTTCTTGGTGCAAACTGAACTAGCAAAGTATAAAAATAAAAGGCCTTATTCTACGAGTGACGCGATGCAGTACATCTTCTCATTCATTATGACAATTGGTTTATTTAAATAAAAGCAAGATGGACTGCAATAATCCAACTACAAAAACAAAAACATAAATAACCTGAACCAAATGTGCAAAAATTTCAGTTTGACATACGATTTCTACACAGTTTTGCAGATAGGATGGCATTACATCTAGTTTTTCTACGGGAGAGAAGTGCAAGGATGGGAAACTGGACAGGTACTCAGAATTTAGATGAAAGGTAAAACCCTAAAAGAAGTTCAAGAGATGATCCTTACAAATGCTTTTCATTGTTTTCCCTTAGTTTCCTCACTTGACTTCAAGTTAACATAAAGTATAATGTCACTAAAGAGTTGATAATTAAAATATCAGTTGGGGGAAAAAAATTCTAATCACATTAAACATGTCGAAACACTTCTAGAGTGTTCTATGATTTTTACAATAAGTGGAAAATTGTAAAAAGAAGAGAGAGCAGTTTAAATATGTGGATCTTGTGCTATGTGTCACCTAGACATCCTCCCACCGTCAATGTAGGGTCTTTAAAGCTTCCACATCATCTGACTTTCACAATGAAATGGAACGCATGTAGACATTTATGGAATTAAATAATTGTACGGCAAAGGGCTACATACTGTACAGCTTGACATGGGCATGGCTGCTCTGAGCTAACAGGTCACACAAGGCCACTACACTCAAACACAGTCACTTCAGTACTCACACACAGGTAAGGAGCAGTCCAACTCTCTTACATAAAGGCCAATCACTCAATAGCTCTTATACAATCTTGGCACACATACACATTGTCAAGGCTGAGCACATTTCTTTTTATTTTTTTTCTGTCAGTTGAATGCAAGTTTGGCCCGCCTCTCACACAACCCTATTAGACTGTCTCCATTCATGCAGGCTAAATTTAGAAATCCAATTCAACATCTTTGTCATTTAAACCAGGACAGGATATCAATAAAAAGTGACGGCACTCTTATAAACAGCACCTGTAATTCTCCTTGAAAGATTAGAAGGGCGTTTCGCCTCAGCACTGCTCACATGGGGGCTTTGTAAAAGCCTCAGATGGCCTGGGATGCTGCACATGGTGGTGATGTGGCCATAAATTGACTTGTCTGCCACCCTATGTCTCACATAACTCACTGTTTTCTGTTGCTCTTTGTCTAAAGGCTCTTTGAACTCTAGTCCATCTACCCATAGACCCCAGTTTGGTGCAGTCTAGGAACAAAAATTACTTGTTAAGGTTTAAAAGGGACTCCTTTTTTTACATTTCCAGGGTGACGACGCCACTGGAGATTGTACATGCTCTTGTTCACACAACCGCAAGAGGTTGCAGACATCATCGGGGTTATATTCTATTTATCAACGGCCAGAATGAATGATAACCCACTTACTGAGCCTGCTAGATGGTGGATGAAGTCTATACTGGCCCACATACATGGGAATGATCTGCGATGATAAAATGAGCTGATAACATCCAAATCATGTGGCCACACTTAAGACATAGATTCAACAAAGAAGAATAACTCAAAGTACTTTAATGAAAGAATCGAGCTAAAAATGTCAAACGCATATGAAGTACTCTCCATCAAATACAGTACTGTGCAGAAGTCTGCAGAAACAGCAACATATATCTGGATAGAAAACGTGACACTGCTGGCTCCTTTAGCACTACTCCTCAGGTGGCCTTGTGCAAGACCCTTGACCCTCCACTGCACCAATGACGCTTCTTAGTAGCAAGCAGATCAGTAAAACAGTGGCTGAACTGAGCAGTTGTGAGTGCTGAACTGTAAACGTAAACTCAGTGTTCCTGAAAAGCAGAGCATGACTCAGTGAATAAGATTCAGCATGGATTGTGTTTGACCAGCAGGCACCGAGGGAGGGGAGGAGGGGGGCATCAGGTTGCAGGAGGTGAGTAGCAGTAGAGTAATGTTTAACAGGGCTTAAAAGTTAGAGAGAAGGCAAAAAGAGTCGGTCAGGTGAAAGAAAGGTAGAGCAGGAAGAGGTTAACGTGTGAGTCAGAGACAGCTACCTTGGGTAGTTCCTCAATCTGGTTGGCATCCAAGTAGAGCTCCTCCAGAGTTCTCTCAAAGCTGAAGATTTCCTTGGGGACCTGCTGAAGGCTGCAGTGGGAGTAGTCCAACACTGAGATCACTTCCTCTTCACCACGGAAACAACGGCACGGCACCAGCCGGCCAATCAGCTTCCGCTTAGTGGTCATTTCCAGACACTGCACTATAAGGCAAAAAGAAGAAATGCAAAAAAAGATGTTAGAATAATTTCAGGGGGAATACAAGTCATGAACATCAACAGGCTGCTTATATCTGATGCAGTCACTATCTTACTACATACAAGCCGCTGTCGGTCTGACAGCGCTACATGCCCAGGCGGAATCACTAAAAGATGACAAAGGGTCGGAAATATCAAACTAGCTTTAAAAATGTTTCTGCAGCAGAGATTAACTATGAAGCTGGCATTAAAATTCATGTGTGGGATTTTGTCTAAAATATTCCAAACTAAATTTGTGGCATCAACCCTGTGAGCTGAATTCATTAATGTTGACAGAGTTTGGTGCTTTTGATGAGTAATGAAATAAATGAAGGCACAAAGGAACACATTTTCACATGACACCATCTGCAAAAAAAAAGAATTCATAATGTGCAGAGAAAATTTGTAAGTGTTAATTTAAGTCTGAGGGTGTAAAAATGACAGCATTCATATGACTCTGTATCTCTCATCGTCTGACATATCATCTGTGAGCACAGTGCATCTTGTGCATATTGAGCTGGGATGGGCTCCAGCCCTTCACAGCCCTGCGCAGGAACAACTGCAGACACGATGAGTGGAAAGATGGAGTGGGAACGCTCCAGTAGAAACTTTCAACTCTAAATATCAACCAAATTTTCTGCATGGCCTCAAATTCACCACACCACCACAGTCACAGATGTCTATGAAAGCGATTTAATATTGTTGGTCAAGAACGCGCCAAATGCATGTAGCAGACTTTTACTCCCTTGTATGGATCACGCTCTAAAAACACAGAATTTCCCATAACACAACCAATAACGTCTTATTATCAGACCGCTACTGAATAAAACTCCATGTCCTCAAATAACTCAGCTTGTAAATAGCTTTCACAGGCTGAGTGGTTTTTGAATGAGTGGGGAAATTATCCCCACGTGTAAAATTGGTGGACTGACCATTTAACCATTGTTCTAAATCAGGTTTAAGCCTATCCGTGTGGACTTTAAATGTTCTCCCCGTCCCTCTGCTGGCTTTCTCTCAGGGCTCGTTTTTCCTCCCACAGTTCAAAGATATATTGACTCTAAATTAACTGTAGGTGTGAATGCGAGGGTGAATGGCTGTCTGTCTCTATGTGTCAGCACTGTGATTGGCAAAATAAAGTAGTCTACCTAAAAATAGGGATGCATTGACAACTGACAACTGCACTGGGGGTGATTTTTATATAATTCACCTGTTTAAATGGTGTTAAGGTTTGAAACGTTCTGCATAATTCAGGTCGTGGGTCATAGTGACAGATGTGTCGTAGGACAGTTCATGGCCTGTCTTAGCTCTAGTCAAGTGTCACCTTTTTGTTCATTTTTGGATAAGCAGGGACTAAGGAGGAGTCAGGCACTGCCAAGATGGTGACTTCTGGAGCCACCACACTGGGCTAAGGACATCACAGAGACTTTATCTATCTATAGGGATGTCCCAAAGCAATCCCATATGCCAAGACTAGAGCAGACCAACACATTTTTTTAACTGAACCTTTGTTTGCATCCACTGTCACACAGTTGTCGTAAAGGCAGAGACAAATTTGTGGCAAGACACTAAGGATGCACATTTTGGATAATTTTCTTCATAAACTGCAGCATTATCAATCAGTAATTGGTTATTTGATGACACAAACTGAGCACAGTAGACATTGGTCCAATGCAGGTATTGCTATTTTATTAGACATACATATGACATGGGCCACAGAGGTGGTTCTATTATATATGCCATCAGGATAAAAGAATGCTGTCCGAAGCAATTCCAAATTTGTCTTAGACACGTTAGCGCTGGCTGGAGGTCATTAAGCCCCACAGAAGACTTTGTCATGGTGACCTGTTGCTAGCTAAACCTTCACAACGCTCTCTGTTTGCCAATGGAACTACCTGTGGTGGCCACCTCCTCTAGTTCCTAGTATCCAACAGTAAAAGGCTCCACCTGGTGGTGCAACCAGGTACAATGGCACAATCTGCCGATACTAAACTAGTAATGATTAGATCAGGAGCAAACAAACTGAACTGGGACATCCCCACTAATGTGGTGTGATACCTACGAAGTATCCCAGTGATGAGGACATAACCTCATCGTTATCCTATTTCAAACACGGCCATTGCTAAAGGATCACTCTGGTCTCATGATGAAATTGAGAGTTTACTAGATATTTGGTGAGATGGCAGCATCCAAAATCAATTACACAGAAATCACAAAGATCCAAAAGTGTCCATCCAAAACAGAAGCAGCAGTACGCCATTGTAATGTTAGCTGTACGAACTTCATCATTTGGATTAGGCGGACATTGTTACGTATAACAGTGTCACATGTATGATGGCATATGTGTAATCAGGTGTGGAACATTAACGCAAACACTGGCCAACAAGGGATTTGGGAGGGAAGGCAGTTGCACTCAAGCAGGCACTAGATAAATCATAGCATAATGTGGAAGTCTCCTGAGTATGTATTGACCAAAATATTTGTTTCAGCTAAGCTTTACGGTGCATTTTTGGACAAAATGAGCACTCTACATTTATCCACTATCTGTTACATGGGAATATTGCATTACTAAGAGCCAATAAGAGCTACAGCTATGACAAACTGTTGAAACCTACATATGGGAATGTTGTTCTAGGATAGAGACAGATGTGAACTTGTGCTTTAGGTGTTGTGGGACCAACATTAGTTTGAAAGCTTCAAATTGACTGTGCTATCTTGCTGCCAGGCAGGTGTATGACATGGGGCAGATGGGTAATATAGTCATCGACCGCCAACCAGCAGTTACCCAGCTCACAGCAGGCTGAGGCTCTTTGTCACACACACACATTCGGTCTTCTCAAACAACAAGCCAGAGCCATATAATTAGACTGAATCCTCTGTAATTCTGCGACAACATCACTCCATTACACAACTCCATTTAAAAAGCTTGTGGCTGAATGGCATAAGTAGGCTAACCATGGGTATTAAAATCCTTGAGTGAGGATTCATCATTCAGCTTTATCATTTTAAACCCAAGCGCTTACTACACTCAATCTAGTGACAAATAAAAATGTTTTAATGCCAGCCCTTTCAAATAGAACAAAGAGTGAATCTTCAGTTATCGGACTGACACTTCAATATCCTGTTTGATCCTCGGCTGTGATGAGGAGAGCGGAGGGAGGTGATGAGGAGTGGCTTAAAGAGAGAGAAGAGAGTCAAGGGAAAAAAAGGGGGGAAAAGGAGGAGGAAAGGAAGGAGAGAATATGAAAATGAGAAGGTGTGGAGCGCAGACAGACGGACACCAGGAGGCTCAGAGATAAGACCTGCAGCTTTATCTGTCTATAAACACACACACAAGTCCAGCTCCACTGTGAGACCAGATGAATTCAGACGATAAACAGAGTGATCTTGAGCGTTGTGAGTACACTATGTTATCAGCTCTAGGTTGTTGCAAGCACGGTGAAATCTGATAAAAAAAAAATAAAAAAAAAAGGCCGCAGATCCTCCAGGACTGTTTATCTAAAAGGGCTGGACCATTAAAATCAATACATCCTTATCCACAGCCACGCTCGGTGCGGGTGTAATGAGGCCGGCTGGGATTGACTGTTTGTCTACTGTATGTGTAAACCCGGCAGTGGGGCTTTTCATGGTGCTCAAACCTTAGACCACTGGTTCTTTTATACCCGCGGATGTTTAGAGCAAATAAACCAGGGTTTGTTCAGCGCTGGGGAACATGGATCGCACAGCACAAGAAAAAAGTTGAAGCAAATTTGGTTTACCTTTCCTTTTACAGTCTTCAGAAAACACAAAGAAAAAGACCCCAGTGAAGAGAAAGAGCTAAATGCAATATCACAAGGTAAGTTTTCAAAGATATATTGTGTATTTCAGTGAAAGCAATAAAAAAAGCACATACATTCAAATTAAAGTCCCCCTCTGGTCACTGATTTAAATCCAAAAAACTAATTTTGACGTATCAAAGTCACGTATTTAGTTTAGTTTTTTGTTTTTGTTGCTGTTTTACAATCCCTTTCTGCTGCCTTGTTTATTACACAATAAAGTCTCCAAGCTTGTTCTCCTTCCACACGAGCTCACCTATGACTTTACTCAGTGTAAAACTACTCTGCACAAAGGCAAGTTATCTTATACGAGAAAGTCGTGCATGTCTGAAGTAGAAACAAAAAAAAAAAACAGTTCTGAAGAAGAACAATGACACAGAAAGTTGCAAGTTGACATAATTGGTTCCTAAGGTTTGTTACATATGAAACCCTGGAGGTCTGAATCTGTTTTGGGGCCTGTCATCAGCACACTGCAGTTTCGAATCCAGAAATGCTTTGCCATGGTGGTGACCTTGTTATTTTGCTCACAATGAGTCTTTTAACATCAATAAAACAGCACACAGACATGATAACAAGTGTAGAAACTAGATTAAACTTTAAACTTCTGTAATAAACAAATGAATAAATAAAATTATTTTTCAAATAACTCTTTTGGGAAACTTTGTAAGCCATTGATGTGTCAAGAGTAACTAAGACGGCTCTATGTCTTGTATTTATGGTAATATTTCTCTTACATAGTTACATGAACAACTTGTGACTTGCAGTGAAATAAATACACCTAGAAGGGCACTCAGAGAGAGCTCTGCTGAGGCCAGTGCCAAGGCCAATCTTGCAATTTGAATGAAGTTTCAAGAAAATCAGTCTGGCAGTTTTTTGCATAATCTTGCTGACACACAGACAGACAGTCAAACAAACAAACCAACAAACGGCTGAGGCTTCAACTTCTTGGCAGAAGTAAAAATGAAACAAAAGCTCGAGCCAAAACAGGAAGAAATACTAAAGTGTTTTTTGGGAACACTGGAACAGAGTTGCATAAATTGTACCTAGTTGATGAAGATGCGTCTAATTGTAAACCCTGATCGCTCCACGGTCATACAGTCGCAATGAGACTTTGGTCAAGATCTCCAAAACTTCCTAAAAT